CGGAGAAATGGAGAAAATTTCGCAAAACCGCGGAGAATGAACCAATCTCGCTGAAATTTCGGAAAAAAATCGGAGAAAATTATAGAGAGCATATTCAAAAAATTTGGGGTCAAAATATCCACTTTGACCATTTTGTCTGAAATTCCAGCCAAAATTTCAAAATTGATTTTGCGACCCAAAATTTTGTGAATATGCTCTTTATAATTTTCTCCGATTTTCTCCGAAATTTCAGCTAGATTGGTTCATTCTCCGCGGTTTCGCGGAATTTTCTCCATTTCTCCGAATTTTTCTACATGTTGGTGAATAACCCTATTAGTTCTTCATTTTTCAGATATTTTTTTTCTAAACCCGGAGATTTCTCGCAAAACCATTGCAATATGCCTTTGAGAAATTTCCAACAAAAATAAAGTGTGTCTCGTACAAATTCGCTCCATCGAATTTCAACGCGACGCAGCCGCGACGCCCGTCGTCCTCTCGGTTTTTGGTCGCAGTTTACCGTGGATGCTCTTCGGTTTTCGGCCAGTGGCGAGGCAGTCGCGTTGTTCTTTCTTTCGGTCTCAATTTTGTCGATAATGGTTTTTCGTTGTGCAAATCAGCTTGATATCCTATTTAACGCGTTTTCTTGTGCTCTCAGGCTAACATTCCAACCTTTTTTCACCCGTCACATGACAATTGAAAGTCGGCTTTCAGTTATGAAGACTTGAGTGGGCCTTTTTAATGCGCGACTCGGTAAAAATCAATGAAAATTAGTGCGAAGTTAAATCTGATTATCCTTATCTTGCTCGTTCTACTTCTTTCATTGTAGACATTAATTTTCACTCAGATGTTTCAGGAATGGTTTCAGAAGAAGTTACGGCGGGCATCATGCAAGCCGAGCAGGCTATGTACGGCCCCTTCTTCGGAAGCCTGGGGGTGACTGCGGCCATGGCTTTTGCTGCAGCTGGATCAGCATATGGAACAGCGAAGGCTGGAACTGGAATCGCCTCGATGGCCGTTGCACGACCGGACCTTGTCATGAAAGCCATCATTCCAGTCGTTATGGCCGGAATCGTCGCCATCTACGGACTTGTCGTTGCTGTCATCGTCTCGGGAAAAGTTGAGCCAGCAGGTCCAAACTACACCATCAACAACGGATTCTCCCAGTTTGCCGGGGGTTTGGTTTGTGGAATATGTGGTCTCGGAGCTGGATATGCAATCGGTATTGCTGGAGACGCGGGAGTGAGGGCCCTCTCACAACAACCGCGGATGTTCGTCGGAATGATCTTGATTCTTATTTTCGCTGAAGTCTTGGGTCTTTACGGTATGATCGTCGCTCTTATCCTCGGAGCTACCTAATTTTCGAACGTGACCTCATTATTTTTGGAAACAAACTATTAGCATCATGTCAACGCCAGCCTAGGTTCTGTTCAGTGAGCCAAAAATTCGGTATTTTACTTGTTTCCTCTTTTAGATTATATTTTCTCTCGTTGAATATTGAACCGTTTTCTGCTTCTCACTCTTTTATCACATTTTTCTTTACGCCTCTACTTTTCATCATGTACATTGAATATTACTTTTTTCGGTTTTCTCCCACATTCCAATAAAAGCGATATTTTATTCGATTAACAATATTTGAATTTCTCATTTTTTGTCTTGCGTTCTAATCGCATTCTTTTACCGTTATTGTGGTTTGGCAATGAACCACTTGCTAATATACTTGTTCCAGGATGTCGTACGATTTGGAAACTGCTGAGCACGCTGCATATGCCCCATTTTTCGGATACATGGGTGCCGCTTCGGCCCAGATCTTCACCGTCCTGGGAGCCGCCTATGGAACCGCCAAGTCCGCTGTCGGTATCTGCTCTATGGGTGTGATGAGACCAGAGCTTATCATGAAATCCGTCATTCCAGTCATTATGGCTGGTTAGTTATCGAATTAATTTCGTTATTTTTAGAGTATTGAAATTCAGGTATCATTGGTATCTACGGTTTGGTCGTCGCCATGGTTTTGAAGGGTAAGGTTCAAGCAGCATCGGCAGGATACGACCTGAACAAGGGATTCGCTCACTTGGCTGCCGGGCTCACTTGTGGACTCTGTGGACTTGGAGCTGGATACGCTATCGGAATCGTCGGAGATGCTGGAGTTCGCGGAACTGCTCAACAGCCAAGACTCTTCGTCGGAATGATCCTTATCCTCATTTTCTCCGAAGTAAGGGTGTTCATATTAAGCTGTCTTTACAGTATATTTTTTGCAGGTCTTGGGACTTTACGGTATGATTGTCGCTCTTATCCTTGGAACATCCTAAGTCGTTTTCTTCAATTCGCCAACATGCTCACATAATTCATTCCCCAATATTCCCCGTCTTACCGGAGTTCCGTGTATCAATAAATGTATTTTTCTTTTTTTTCTACCAATCTAGCCCTTCCCACTAAACCCACCCATCTTCCCTCCCATCGGCAATTATACGATACAGTCAACATCTCAGTTGACTTTCCTTTTTCCCTCGCCAGATGTTCTTCATGTGTTAGTGACTTAAAACCATTTCTCCCACTTTTTGAAAATCAATGTGTACTAACATTGCCAATTCTACGACGACTTGTGTCCTGTTTCCTTTTAGTGTATGAAATATATACATATACTTGCTCGTTTTCTCAACTTCGTTCCATATGAATTTTATAGAGATCTATCAGAAAGGGTTGTGACAATCTGATGCTTTCGAAAGTCCCTTCACTAGACAATAAATCTTTCATCGTGATCGTTTTCAAGTGTGAGAAAAACAATTGTAGGTGGGACTCCACAAACTGAATACTTTTGCGAAACAAGATGAAACTGTCCTGAATGCTTAAGTTTGAAATTCACAGATGGAAGGCAAATTCTCTATGGATAGTCAAATACTGGAAGAAGTCATTAGAAGTGGGAACATTCCATGTCATGGCAGAACAGGTAAAAAGGCAAAAACCACGTGTCAAGAGTCACAAAACTTTCACAACAGTTCCGGTTTTTTATTATATCCTCGCCTAGAAAATGTTCTGGAAATGGGGTTCGTCACGCACCAAAAATGGTGAGAATGAAAGCGATTCAAGCTACAAACCAAAGTTTCTTCGAATTTACGAAAATCCATAAATAACTCATGATTCTTCTTATGATCTTACGTTTTTTCTCAACTTTCGTAAAAGTAGCTTTAGTTCATCTTCCACTTTTTCAAAGTACTTTTAATCCTCTGAAACCAGAAAACTCCGCAAAAATGATTCCAAGAACAACCGCTCGTTAAAATTCATGTTTCCGGAATGCCTTGAAAAAAAAACATAAAAACGAACGAAAAACTGATTGATGTTTGTCTTACTTCCTTGGTGTCTTTAGGAATGTTATGTGCCGGTGGAGGACTTTTACCGCCCGCGCTTCTCGATGAATCGAGAGTTCCAAAGTTCTACTTGGATGCTCTAGTTGCTTGTGGAGGAACTACATCCAGTGCTCTACCAAATACTGGTTTAGGTAAGTTTGCATCACACATAAAACATATTCTGTCTATTTAAATAGCTATTTTTCAGTCTACAACTTAATGGGAACATCTGGACTCCCAAAAGACGTTCTATCGCACATTTGGTCAGCTGTGAATCGGGCGAAACCGGGTCAATTGACTCGTCCTGAGTTCTTCTCTCTTCTGGCTCTCATTGCATTGGCACAAAAAGGAGAATCTTTAGCGGCGTTGTGTGCAATGAACTCGCTTCCAATTCCTTATCTGAATCCAGTTCAAGCGTTTCCAACTGCTTGCAATCCAGCACCAACAGTTAACACATCATCTTCATTTGTGCCTTTCGGAAAGTAGGTGTGAAAGTTATGTTTTTAAACTGAATAGTATCCTTATTGCAGAATTAAACCATCTGCTTTCATCCCAACATCACTATTGCCACGAAGGAGTATGAGGAAAAAGAAAGATACAGATTCAAAGGAGGCGTCTGCTCATAACTCGCCCGCGAAAAGCGGTGCTCAAGACTTGGCTGGCCTAGATTTCAGTAATGACATTTCTGATATAATGGAAGATATAAAGGATGCGAACGAGACGCCCAATCAACAATGCTGGCGAGAAACTGTTCATGCGATTTACATAGTCGTCGAAGAAGCAAATCAATTATTCAAAGATGTCAAAAAGGATGTGATTTTGGAAATATTAGAAACAGAAAAAGGAGAAAACTACTTCAAAAGTTTGGCAAAAACTTTCGAAACACTGGAAAGAGTTTGCAAATCTGCTGGAGTTCTACTTTCCACTCAATCCACGAAAGAAGCTGAGTACTGTCGGAATCTAAAAAGAAAATGGGAACCCTTTTTTGGAGAAGCATCAGCTGATGTGAATGTAGAACAATGCACCGATGACAGGTATAAAATATATCTTAAAGTTCATCTCCCTTACCAGAAAAGTTTGCAGAAAATGTGTAATCTGTTGCCAACCGGTTCAAAATCCAATTGATTACGGTGGTCAATGTTTTGATGTGGCATGTGCGAATCTTTGGGTGAACGGAGTCAGTTCAACACTTCCAAGTCTTCATTTGAAATAATCTTTTTCTAGAGTTACACATGTAGATATTTTCTATTATCCTGTATCATTTCTTCCTGGTTGTGACCTATTTTTTTGTCTCCTGGTTTATACTAGTCTTTTTTTCGCTCTGTGGTTGTGTACATTTCAAAGTCAGGGTTCATTTGGTCTAACAGTTGTTTATTATCAATTTTCTTCCCACTATCATAATAATATACACAAAACAAAATTCGAATGCACAATCAATTTTTGTTTTTAATAAAAGTTGCACGATAAGATATGGAACTAATAATTTCAAAAGTGACGAAGATTCAATCCGTTCTTGACATCGTCCTCAGCGGAAGATCCAATCTTGGTTGAATCCACTTTGTGATCAGAGGATTCAAGGGCCTTCTTGAATTCAGATGTGACGTCTCCAATAAGTTTTTCCCCTGACTTCATCACATCCGATATGACGTCCTTTGAGGCATTCTCAAGTTTTGGTTTGATTTCAGAAGCTGTCTGAAAATCAGAAAATCGAAATTTTAAATTTTTTTTCAAAAAATTCGAACCGTTTCGATTTTGCTTCCCAATTTCTCACTTGTTTCCTCCAAACTTTTCGCAGTTTTCTCCAAAGATTTTGTGATATCGTCAACCTTCTCAGCAATGTTCTGAATCAGAAAAATCACTACTTCTTTGATTTTTGATTTCTTACATTTTCTACATCTGTCTTTATCTCTCCTACTGAAGACTTCCCCTCTTTTACAACTTGATCAACCTTTTTTGCAATATCGTTCTCTGTTTTTTCAATTGTCTGAAAATCAAAAACTATCAGTTCCTAATCACTTTATCAGGTACACCCACTTTAGCCACGTCAGCTCCAATGGTGTTTTTGGTCTGCAAAAATGTGTAATGACATACTTTTATCAGCTTATCGTATTTCTCCCCCGTCTCACCTTATCAACAGTTTCTTCAGCTACCTTCTGCACTTTTGCCAACAAGTCTCCAACGACATTTGCCGGTTTCTGATTGTCTGGACTCTCAGCGATCGCTGGCACACTTTCAGGAGTTATTTCATTCATCAATTGGCTCACTTCGATCTGGAAGAGGTTGTAGACGTTCATTAGGAACCCAGAATTTCAGAATTTAGAACAGGGACAGGTGGATAACTGCTACAGGGGCTAAAGGGGCGTGGAAGGATGGACACCGTCTAGTCGCCGCCCTGGAATTGCGCCGTTGACAGCTAGTCGACGGGCCGCTGACTGTGAAAAGAGTTACAGCTTTCGAACGAAAATCTGCTATCCAAGGCATTTATAAGTTAAATTTATAATTAATGAACACTTGGGAATGTGATTGTTGAAGTATAAATAAACTAGGGAAGGAAAGAATCAGGATGTTTAGATTTGTAATTGGCACGTTGGAAAAAAACCATAGTTGCAAAAAGCCGGGCCAGGCCGGGCCGGTAGACGAATTTTCTTGGCCCGGCCCAGCCCGCCTACCACAGTTGAAAATTTCCCAATGAAAATTTGGGTATTTTTTTTGAATTAAAAAAGAAAAAAGAATACATTATTCAACAAAACTAACAAAGTAGAAAGTAGTCAAAAAATAGGTCGATTTTGTTTAAATTTTTGAAAAAAAATTTCGAAAAAAATTTTTTAAAAAAGCAACGTCTGTACGTACCCCGGGCCGGCACTTCATCGGCTCGGCCCGGCCCTCCAAAATATGGAAAAAAAACATCCCTATAGGCTATAGCAAAGACTAATCAAGATCTCAAACCTGATCATTCATTTTGTTAGCCGATAAATTCTTTGTGGCAACTGCTGGCTCTTCCTGAGTCTCAGCATGTATTCTAACAGCCTTTTGAACATTTCCAGAGATTTCTGGAGCATGTGCAAACTTCACATTCTCCTGATGAGTCTCAGCTGCAGTTGGAGACTGAATTTCCATCGGATTCTTGGAATCTGAAAAATGCTCTCAAACTATTAAGCGAGAACTGTGAGACAGGAGAACTCGCCAGTCTTTCCGAGAGATTTTTTCTTCTCTAACTCCTTCTTATGCTTCTTCATTTCATTCAAAAATTCTTCTCTATCCTGAACGAAATCTGGCTCAGATGCAATATCATCATCCTTCGAAGTGATCACATGACGGTTTTCTTCTTTTTTCACTGGTTTAGTAATTGGAACAGTAGCTGAAAACTGAAAGTAAATTTTGGATTGAAATGGGTCAAACCTACGAGGAGTGAACCTAATTGGAGCCGCTTTGAAATCGCTATGTGTTGCACTTTTCTTCGGAATTTTGGCATCATAGACACGCTGTTTATGAGGGATTTTATCGAGATGAGCAAGGGTTCGGGGAGTGGATGAACCAAAGACAAATTGGTTGCGAGTATCACCAGCTGAAACAAGAGGACCACTTTAGAATACAAAAGTTGTTCAGAGTTGTTCCATTGAGCTGAATTTTTAAATTTATATAAACCAAGATGAGATTTTCATTTTTGTAGTTGTTGCCTTTTTGAGTAAAAGAGTATTCCAATAAAATCGGAAGATTGTTTCTGGTACTATTGCTGTTTGAGTATGTTTGGTATTCTTCAACTTAGAAGCCATCCCTAACCTTAAACTTTGAGCCAATTTATCTCTGTTTCTGTGAAATATATCAAATATTTGTAAACTGATAAATTACTTATCATAATATAAAAAAATATTTTTTCTGTAGACTACTTTTTGACATCTTTCCTGGGAACCGAGATATATAGACTCAAAGTTAACAGAGGGCTTTATTATACGGTAATTTCTGTTTTTAAGGATTCCGTCAAATCTTCTCCCTTCGATATTGTATGCCATCTAAAAATCTATATTTTCTAGATTACCTTCTCTCGAAAGACTTCTGGCCTTCACAATGTAATCATGCAAACTTGGTGCATCGACTGCTGGTTTCTCAACAGATTTCGCATCGTAACTCCTCAATTTTGGAGGTATCTGAAACTTTTCTTCTTTTTATTATTTTTTTGGTAGTTGCAGTCTAGAAGTTGTTTCCTTAAAAAACATAAACATTTTACGATACTTTTTTATATCTTTTTGGATGTTATTTCAATGGAAAAAACACACTAATTGAATTGAGTATGAGAGTACTCATCCATTTTATAGATGTTTCGGGTGGTCCCATGAGAATTACCTTATTCATGTGAGACAAATCGCGCGGAGTACTACTTCCAAAGGCGAAAACTCGTTGACCACGGCTTCGAAGTTTCTCCCGTCCAGCCGACGAAGCCATTGTTTGCAAAAGTTCGAAAGTACTGGGAAAGGGAAAAGAAGCTGTTAAAAAATTCTAAAGAGTTATTGGGGAGTGCAGCGAATAAAAAAAATGGAAAAAACGATCGGTGAGCAAGAGACTCGAGTGGAAGAAATTGAAGTGGATGGGGATGGAAATAAAGGGTCTCCGGAAACGAAAAAAGAAGTGAACTGGCAGTGTTAGGCGGAAGGAACGTGGTGCAAAAGAAATATGAAGAAGCATTTAGAAAGAAAACGTCACGTATCCGGAGGATAGAAAAACGCTGAAGAAGAAGAAAAAGGCAAACGACTACGCCACCGGGAAAGATTCATGACATGTTCTGAACTTCAGATTCAAGACAAAAGTGTATGCCCTAATCGACCCTTGTTTTGTCGGCACTCTTTTGCAAGAAGACCCTTTCTTCTGAAGCGTTTTGAGTTGAGTAAGAACTTGGTAAAATTTGAGTTCAAAGATGAAATGTTGGATAGAAGTCAGCTAACTTCAATAATAAGGTTTCTGACAAAATCAGTGAAAGAAATAGTTTGGAATCCCACTTCAAGGTGGGGGGACATGAGAAGAATAATGTTGTCGAAATTCCGTTTAAATATGCTCCTCGAGGAGTTGAACTTGTCGAGGCGAGTGTTGGAGGTGCGGCGCTGCTACCGACTGAGCTACGCGTGCAAAGAGAAAGCCGCTGCCCGATTGCATACATAAAGGCGAGGGCGACAGCTGTACGCAGAGTGACATTAAGCGTTGTACACCGTTACGGTAAATGCATACTCTGGCTCCAAAAATCCCCCGTAAAATCTCCTGTCCCCCCCACCTTTCAGTAGTAACACAATTGAGGTTGGGTTGCTGAAAAGCGTGTAAACGACGACTGAAGATCGAAAACTGGCTACAACTTGCGTTTTTAAGTAAAGTGGGAAAAAATTTGTGACAAAAAGTATGAAAATAAAATATTTGTAATCGGACCATGATGAAAAATTCAGCCACAGTTTGTACGCTTTTCGGCAACCCCGTTTTACCTGTGAAATCAGTGAAAATTGTCATTTTCGCTAGGTACTGTAGGTATGTCATTGGATGACTCGTTTCGGAATCAAACAGCATAGAATCTGCACAAAAAATTATTTTCAGACCATTCTAACCAGATTCTATAAAATTCTATGAAATTCGTTTCCGAAACATATTTTCTGGAGTAACAGAACTTCAAGTTACCGTAAACTAATTGAATGACGACTAACCTTTAAATTTGAGCCAATTTATCTTGGTTCCTGTAATATATACTGAAAAGTGGTCTCTTAATAAAATGTTTCTGATATTATGACAAACATTCTGTAAGTTGAACACTTTTTGATATCTGTTACAGGAAATGAGATGATTGAGCTCAAAGTGCAAGTATATGGTGGTCTTAGGGGGTGTAGTTGAGTCTCTTACTTTTTTTCAATGATAATTTTTTTATTTTTCTATTGTAGAAAATAGTCAAAGTAAACTCTAGAATGATACCAACATAGAAATCGACTCTGAAATTGATCTAGAAGTCAAAAAAAGAAGACAGATGAATGTCATGCGACTTGCATTTCTTTCCTTCTTTTTCTGGGGCAAACTCTTTTTTGATTTGACTTCAAAATGTGAAAACAACAAAAAAAGTAGAAATCGAGAGAAAAGAGGGCGGTCCCAATGGGAAAGAACTCAAAAGAGACACATTATGAGAAGAGTAGAAGAAGAAAGAAGAAGAATGAGCTCGGAAAGAAGAAGAAGAAGTAGATGATGAGGATGGATTAGGAGAAGAATTGGAAAAAAAATGAAGAAGAAAAACCCGTTGGTGGTAGAAGCAACTCATCAGAAATTCTACAAGAAAATTGAATTTAAAAAATTAACCAAGGCAATAAAAAATACTGGAAACACTCTAATTAAAGGCTATCGAAATTGTCAACCTTAATTCCATATAAATCAGTTCCTGTGAAAGATATCAAAAAGTGGTCAACTGATAAAATACGTTTGATATTATGATAAACAATGTATCAGTTGACATCTTTTTTATATCTTGCGTAGGAATCGAGATAATTTAGCTCAAAGTTGAGGGTTTCGGTGGGCTTCCAATTAGAGGAAATACGGTATGTTGATGTCTACAATTTTATTCTGAATTTGAATTCAATTGCTCTCTATTTTTAATTATTTTCACTAATGGCTTTGTACCATAAAACCGGGTAACTTGAAACATAACCGCGGACCTTGATAGAAGGAATTTCCAAAAAAAAACTAATCGTGTTGGTTTGTGTCTGTTTTCCCATTCAGACTGACAGAGAGAAAAATTGAGAGAAGTGGTTTCAATCAGACAAATTGGGTCCAACTAAACATGTTTTGTTTTTGAGAGCTCCAAACTGACATTGTTGCCATTTCAAGAGGGGTCCCTAGTCGTCAATTTTATAGTCGATTGGAGAGAGGAAACAAGACACGTTTCGTTTCATGAATTGAATTACAAATACTGGAGAGAGAAAGGAGCAAAAACTAGGGAAGAAGAAGAAGAGAAAATAAGATGTTGTTGGTTTTTGGAAAAGGTGTTTTCAAGAAAAACCGAAAGGTGAAGAAAAAAGGGAAAAAAGTGAGCAATTTGAGAAAATTGCACAATAGTTGTTGGTGCTGGGGACTAAATTGTCGAGGTAAACAGAGGTTGTTGTAGATGAATGGGAATGGAAAAGAATTATCCGGTTCTCAAAAAGAGGGCTAGGTTTGAGCATGGGATTTATTGTGCAAAAATCAGAGCTGTGGAAGAGAAACGTCGGTGGCTTTGGTCGAAGGTCCCACAACGAAAACTACGGTAACCTCACAAAATATGTGTATTTTTCGGATTTGTTTTCTCGATTTTGTATTTTTGGTAAAAATTTGATTTTCTGACTTTTTTTTGGGAAAAAATAACAGCCAGTTCGACGAAAAGCAGTGAAAAAATAAAACAAATATTGTCGAATTGAAAAAAGTGGAACCTGAGAATTTGAAAGGCGTAGCTTTTTTTGATCTACGAAAAAGTGCGGCAAAAACGTAATATTTCAGATTTTCACCTCGTTCGAGCTACTTTCGCAATAAAGTTCTGTTTTTCGATAAAAAACAGATTCTAGAGATGCTAGCAATCATTTTCATACCAAGAAATCTACATTTTGTCTAGAAAATCCCGCTAAATTCACAGAAATAATTTTCGTTTCTTACTGTAGTGATTTTGAGGCAAGGCCTCGAAAATTGACCGGGAAGCCGCCCGCGAAATTTTCCAAGTCCCACTTTTTTTAATTCGACGGTGAATGGAAATATTTTAGGTTACGGTATTTATCGTTGTCGGACATTCGGTGACCGACGTTTCTCTTCCGCAGCTCCGGTTTTTTGTACCAGAATAATAGGAACAGAATTTTCTGACAATTGTGAGAATCGGAGAACGTTCTAGAGAAAATATCAAGTTTATGACTGTTTTAAAACTTTGAGAAACTTTATTCACGAAAAATACTGATAATCCAAATCTCGATCTCTTGCTGCTGCATAGGAACGCCTCTTTTCAGATTCTTCGTAACCCCTTCTGAGTTCCCATTGGGTTCCAGAATCTATTGTTGAACTGCTGACTGTCTGAATTTGGGAATCCTTTTTTGTCGTTGTCGTCTTCTTCCTTTCCGGTGCTACACAACTAGTTGATTTCTTTCTTCCAACCACACACCATGCAATACAACAACAACAGCAAACAAGAAGGAGAAGAACAATTAGAATGACACAAATGATTCTGGAAATTTCGAAAGAAATTCTTCTGAATCTTTGTGGAAAATAACTCACATTGGTTCTTGTCTGAATCTCCAACAACAGTTTCCTAAAAACTCTCCACAACACTCGTAATAAGTGAAAAACGATGGTGTTGGACATCTCCTGAATTTTGAAGAAATTTGGAGCAGATTATTTTTAAATTACTTACAATGGAGCAGGTCTGGGAGAATTGAAATACCACGGACGACGACAAATTACATCATTATAGGATTGTGTTGTAACTAAATTACTCAATTATGAAAATACCGTGAAACCTGTAATAGAAGGGCCCCACACTGTTAGCTTTGACATCATTTATCTCTGCTTCTGTAAGAGATATCGAAAAAGTGTCAACTGATAAAATACTTGTGAAATTATGATGTGCAATTTACTAGTGGACAGCTTTTTTATATCTTTGATAGGTATCGAGATAAATTGGCTCAAAGTTAAAGAGGTTCTTCTATCACAGGTTCCACGGTAGTTGTTAGTTTACCTAATAAGAATAATGAAAATATCAATATAGATTTAAAGTAAAAGTACATCGATATCAGTACAACTTTCTTCTAGAGATAGAATTCGTAGTGTCCAGAATGTAAACATATACTTCTCGCATAACTTTCTTCGGCCTGTTGCGCACGTCTGACTCATATTTATTAGTTTCCAAACATGGGTGACAAATCTCTGGAACTCAGAAGATGTCTCGTTTTGAGGGTCAGCTGGATGATTAAACAATCTTGAAGATGATTATCGTTTGTTTGATTCGGTCTGCGTTCAGTATTTACTTTTCAGGAAAAATTAATAATGGTTTGTTATCGTAATAGTCTGGTCAGCACAATTTAGCGCCTGATCTTGAGATTTTCAGATTCATTTTTTCATTCTTAAAATTGGCTTCCAGTCAACCATTTTATTCAATTAAAACGTTTAGATCCACATCAAAATAGTGAAAACAGTCGAGATGAACTGAAAAACTCAAAAATCCCAAAAGCCGACCATTTCTGGAAAGATGCTTTCAGCAAATACATAGCTGGAGATACGAAATAGCGAATATCCACAGGAATTCAAGATTTTGAGAACTTTTTATATTTGACGACTTCTGATTTTATTGTTTGCCTTTTGTATTTACTTTTCGATTTATTTTTCGATTACCTTCTCTTCGATTTGAATCTGTGTTTTTCACAATACAAATGTTCAGCATTTTTTTGGCCAGAGTTCCGTCTCCAATCCGGCCATCTTCTCCAATCCGGCCAACTCTCCAATCCGGCAAACTATATGCCAGTTTCCCTAACCGACCCCGTCGCCAGAATCATGGAAAGAATCATCTGTCGTCGCCTTGTTACAGACAACCTTCACAAGTTCCATTCCTTTCAGCATGGCTTCCTACCGTACAGATCCTGCATTTCGTCACTCGTCGACTCCACTTCAATCTATAAGCGTATTCTAGCCAAATACAAAACGGTGGATATAATTTTCTTCGACTTCCAGAAAGCGTTTGACAAAGTTCCTCATTCTCTGCTACTTGAAAAGCTTGTCTCCTTTGGGATTCCCACACTATTCTGCAGATGGTTCAAAGACTTCCTATCCAACCGGACCTTCTCGGTAAAAGCATACTTTTAACCCGGCGGGCCTGTCATTCCACAAGTTCTGAAAATTTCAAAAAACACATAAGGGGGGACCCTTATGTGATTTTTTTCGATCAAAAAATTTTTTTCGAGTTTTTTCAAATATTTTTTGATCAAACAGACAAACAATCCAAAAAGCACAAAAAATATAGGAAATTGTATTAAGAGCTCAAAATTCGGTTCAAAATGACAAAATTTTTGCTACCGGGCCTTGAAATTTTCCTCAGGCCCCCCCCATGGGTAAAAGTAAACTCTCACATTGATCCCACTCGTCTCATCATTCCATCCGGTGTTCCCCAAGGATCGGTTTCCGGCCCATTATTATTCCTAATTTTTTTCAATGACTTGCTCTTTTCGCTTCCTCCCTCCATCCATTTTTCGGTCTTCGCCGATGACATTAAAGTTTTTCATAATTCCCCCTCTATCATTCAGAAGTCCATTGACATCATTTATACCTGGTCCGTTAAGAATTCTCTCCCTCTTGCCACTTCCAAAACATCACTCCTTCGATTAGGCTCTCAAAATTCCCATCATAATTGACGGCTCCTCTATTCTCCCGTCCTCCCAAGTCAGAGATCTTAGCCTTCGACCCGCTCCTTAAATTTGAACAACACATTCTCAAGAAAATCGCCCTTGCTATGCTCCGATCTCACCAACTACTTAGATCTTTCCGCTCCAACAATCCGCTGTTCTACGCTGCGCTTTTCAAAACTTATGTGTTACCGATCATCGAATACTGTTCTGCTGTCTACTCTCCACCCCCTTCTTCCAAGCTTTCTCTTAAATTAGAACGACCTCTCCGCCACTTCTCCAAAATAGTCCTCCAAAGATGTAACATCCCACAGCGACGGAATTTCACAAACGAAACTGCTCATTTCGGTGGAGCGCAATCCCGCCCACCTCTATTTTTTCACTTTTTTTCCCTGAAAATGTTCAGAATGTTCCGTGTTTTTTTTTTCATACAAAGGCTTAGAATGAAACTTCTTGTCGTAAAAAGGTGTTTTAGCCTAAGCCTAAAATATAGAACAAAAAACGGAATATTCTGAAAATTTTGCAGTGAAAAAAGTGTAAATATTTGGGAATTTAAAGACTGTTTGATTGGAGTTTTCAGATTATTTTGCTTTTTTGTTTGAAATTCGAGGCTTAGGTTTTAACACCCTGTTTTTTTTCTAATGAGAAATCTGTAAGGTTGTGCCGATGCGATGGTCGATTTTCCGAAACAAAGTATCGTTTGATCGAAAAAATGAAAAAAACCAATTCCAGTTGTTTTTAATGTCATTTCCGTGCATTTCTTGTCGATATCACAGAAATTTTCTCGAAAGTACTATGTGATAATACAAACAAAAAGTTGAAAAAAGAGACCCCGCAAATTCCGGGGAAAAAAATCGGGGAAAAAAACCGGGGAAAGTGGGCGGAGTCGAGAAAAACCGTGCGGCAAAACCGTGTCAGGGTAGTTTTTTTTCCCCGGAATTTCCGGGGTCTCGAAAAAATAGAGGTGGGCGGGATTGCGCTCCACCGAAATGAGCAGTTTCGTTTGTGAAATTCCGTCGCTGTTAACATCCCCTTCTCTACCTATGAAAATCGTCTCAAAATCATAAACATGTTCTCCATCCGCCATCGTCGCCTCAAATCACAACTTTATTTACTCTATAAATTAATTAGCGGTGCCTCACTTGGGTTCAAGCCAATAGGTCAGAAATCGCGCCCCATTAAACGTGAGATTTCAGAAAAAATTCGCTGCTGAATTATGTGGCTGAGGATCAAACTTTTAAACGTTGCACAAAAAAATCACGCGTTGCAACTAGTTGATTAAAATCACGTCAACTTGAAAATTATTAAATTTCTTCTAGCCCAAAAGTTATTTGGGGCGCGTTTTTTGACCCGTTGGCTTGAACCCAAGTGGTGCCTCTTATTTTCCCAATCTTGATTCACCTGTTTCCATTTCCTCCTCCGCCCGTCACCCCATGTTACTTATATGCCATCACCCCAAAATCAACAACTATTTTTCTCAAACGATCCCAATTTGGAACGCTATTGTGAAGAACTGCCCCCACCTTCTTACCACCCTCACAATTCCAAAAACTTCTTGACATGAGATCTCGATTATCCGTTTCTGACTTGCCCCCATCCCTTTGACCATGCCACTATCTCTCTTTTCCTTCCCCACATTAGGATTAACTCTTGTATTGTATTGTATTGTATTTATTACGTAAAAAATACGTGGAAGAATAAAAAGAAAAAAGAATGAAAAAGAGAATAAATAGACAAAAAGGGACATGGTGACATAAAATTGATATTTCTTAACCTAGACATGAATAATAGTGGATAATAACAAATCTTTTTCCGAACTTCTGACAGCAGCAGGCTTTTAGATCCGTTTTGTAGAGCTCATCATTTTACTAAGAACCCTATGTGTGAAGAAGTTTTGTTTAAGTTTAGACTTTGGAGTTTTCCATTGGTAGGTGTGGCGGCTGCGCGTTTTTGTCGATCTAATTTTAAAATATGAGAAATGATTTATATTAATTTTACCTAGAATGAGTTTGTTGAAGAATTTCAGATCAAGCTTTTCCCGTCTAGATTGTAGTGATTCTAGGCTGAATTCGGTCAATCTGTCTTGAGATGTTTTGTAATCCTTATCAATTGTCGTTAAGTTTCTACCCACTATTCTATTCATCAATTTTCTAGTGAAGGAGCTTTGCACTTTCTATATATTGTCAATGAGCAGTTTTTTAGAAGGGCTGTCTACCACCGTTCCATATTCCAAATACGGTCGCACAAAAGTCTTATATAGTAATGACATTAATCTAACGTTCTTACTATGATAAGTTTTAAAAATAGAGTAACTAGCGTATTTCGCCCTATTGATAGCTTTCTGCCAATGGTTAGAGAAATCTAATCTCTCAGTGATTATAAATCCTAAATCCCTAACTGTAGTTTCCCGTTTAATTTTGTCATTATCAAGGAAATAATTTATATATTTTGGGTTTTTACCAAGACTGATGCAGCAGGTCTTTGATAGATTTAATTCTAGATTAGCATTGACCACTCATAGATTTTATTGATTGATTCTTGCAGAGATCCTCCCATGTCTCCTTTTTTAATTGGGCAGTATATTTTTAGGTCGTCAGTAAACTGTTTTACTTGCACTGGCGATGAAATTTCTGCGCTCAGGCTATTAACATAGACACAAAACAAGACTGGTGACAACACCCCACCTTGAGGAACTCCGCATACTACTTGCTTAGGCGAGGAAATATAATTATTGATTTTTACCCTGAATGTTCTGTTACTAAGATATGAATTTATCCAGTCTATAAGATATGAATTTAATCCTATAGAGGCCAGCTTTTCAAGTAATAAATTATGAGGTACCTTATCAAAAGCCTTACTAAATCAAAATAAATTATATCTACCTGATCCCCTCTACTAGAAGTCCATTCATTTAAAGATTCTAACAGACAGGAAGTTGTTGATCTACCTACTCGTAAGCCGTGTTGGCTGTCACTCCAAAATTGAATATTTGCTAGATGGTCATTGATTCTTTTCAGGATACACCTTTCGTAAACTCTACAAATAACGGAAGTGAGACTAATAGGCCTGAATTGGCTTGGGCTAGAAGGAGTTTCTACTTTTTTTATAGGAATAACAATCGCCTCGTTCCATTTTTTCGGGGTTTTTCCTGACATCATTGAGTAAGTACATAGTTGTGCTATTGGGCTAGCTATATATATATATATATATATATATGGATGTCAATTTTAAAAAACTAGAAGGAATATCGTCTGGGGTTAGTGTATTATTACTCTTAATTTTCTTAAGTAACTTATAAATTTCATCTTCAGATACCCATATCATTTCCTGGATATTTTTTGTGGTATTATTGGCTTGGAACGTTGGACTAGGATTTGTAAATTGTGATTCAAAATACTCCGATAGACATTCAGATTTCTCATAGTCTTCACTCAATACTATTCCGGAAAAGTTTATGAAGTCTGGTGTCTCGCCAGATTTCTTCTTTAACACAAATTTAGAAAACTTAGAAAACCGACTGACACCTTTTTTCTGAAGAATTTGCAATTCAACGTTGCCTTTATATTTTTGCAATTTTTTCCTAATTTTTTTTTGTAATCAAGGCGTACTGTTCAAAGTCAGAATCACTTCTAGTTAATTTCGTTTTTTCCCAAAGGTAGTCTACAAGTTTACTGAACGATATCAGGTATTGGGGGAGATTTCCATATTCAGAATTTACTCTAATCCAAGGAACAGTGCATTCAAAAACATGATTAAGGTAGGAGAGGAAATTATCATATTTGTCATTAATGTCTAAACTTGAACCAAAGATTTGTGTCCAGTCAACTCTATGTAACATTTGTTGGAGCATTTGCCTATTTACGTTTTTATAATCAGGAATAGAGATGTACACAGGAGTTGGCTTGTGAATAAGGTCAAGTTGGAAAGATATTTTTGAATGATCGCTGAACCCTATTGGACTGGAAACCACAACATTAGACAGTGACGTATTCGAAAAAAATAGATCAAGAATGTTTGGGACTCTAGTCGGTTGCTTTACGTATTGAGTAAGATTATTTGTTACGCAAAAATCAATAACCGCTCTGGCTAGCTGTAGTGGTTGTGTTGGTTTGGGAGGATCTGAGCACCAATCAATTTCTTTACAATTAAAATCTCCTGATACAATAATATTCTTATGATCGATGAAAGTAGATATAATATTAAAAAGTTGTTTTGAATCTCTAGTGTTACAGGAAGGCGTTCTATAGACATTTATCAGTTTTATGGGGTCTATTCCTACATCAACTTCAAGAATTAAAATTTCATAGGCATTTTTTAGAGATTCAGAATAAATGCTTCTACATTTCAAGTAAGATTTAACAAAACCTGCTACACCACCACCTCTACCATCACGGTCTACTCTAAATAAAGTATACTTGTCGCTGCCTAAACAAGAAGAGAACATAGACATAGGACTATTTGAAGTGAGCCAAGTTTCCTGAACCATTACAATATCATAACACTCGAGTTCCAGTAAAATAGTGAACTCAGAACAATTGGAAACCAGGGAGCGTGCATTTGCTGTCAGACAATTAAGAAAAAGATTTTTACATTTTACATTTTTCGGGGTAATATTTCTAAGATTAGGGGGGGACAGATTGTTACTTAGAATTGAAGGGCCTATCTGTCCCCATCCCTGTTTCCCATTCCATCCATGGGTTCATCGACTAATTGTGGTGGGGTAACATTAGAATTTGTTGGAGGGGGAAATGAATTAACACGTGATCTAGACAAAAACTTATCTCGTTGTGCTTTACTGTACTCGACACGTTGCTCTTTCGTCAGGGATGGGCGGACAAAGACTTTGACTGGTCCAGATGGAAAATACTTGAGCCGTGGTGCTCTTGCCAATACCGTTTTTTGAGCGAAAGACGTCGCAAACACTACTTTCATCATCCGGGATTTTTTAGCTTTCTATCCAAGACGATAAAATGTTACTGGAGGTGCTCCAATGTCCAGATGGTTCAAAATTTTTGACATACACGACTGGTCCCAGTACCAAGCCTCTCATTCTGATCTACCATATTCAGGAATACCAGTTACAATAATTGACCGTTTTCTCTCCTTTTCTTCAGCCGACACAACAGATCCACCTGGAGAATAAGTATTCTCACCTCCGTTTACATTTAAACCGGTCATCCCATTCTTCTTCATATCCTCAATTTTCGCATTAAGTTCCGAAATTTGATTCTCCAGATGATTCATCTTCTCCATATGTTTCTCCAACTCCTTATCAATAGGCCAAATTTCTTATCGTATGAGAACAAGGCAATAGAGATCGATTTTTGAAAGACTTCTTGGACCTTCCCATGAGATAGGGCTGCCACTAATCTCATTACCAACTCATCATCATCTTCTCGCTTCATTTTGGGCTTCGTTCCAATAGGTTCGGCCTCACAAGACTGAGCGACGTTTCGACATTTCCCGTGAAAAAATTAGGGACTCTTACGGGTTAGTCCTTCTTAGCTTCGTTTTTTACCATTTTCTTTCCCCGGTTAACATCACTCCTTATTTCTTCAAATCCTTCGAATAAACGATCATATATATAAAAAATAACATTGTTCCCAGACTGCAAGATGTAGCCTCCAAGAAAGAGCATGCTATTGTCAAATTAAAAAAAAAACTGGGACCTGAGAATTTGAAAACTTTTGCTTTTTTTGATCTACGAAAAAGCGCGGCAAAAACGTAATATTTCAAATGTTTGGCTCGTTCGAGCTACTTTCGCGTTTAACTTTAGTTTTTTTTGCTGAAAAATAGATTTTAGAGATGCTAGCGATCTTTTTATACCAAGAAATCAAAATTTTGTTCAGAAAATCCCACTAAATTCACATAAATAAATGTGTTATCTACAGTATCCGTTTACGCTCCGCCCCCTCGTAAATCGACACGAACGCCGTCTCCGAGATTTTCAGGTGTCATTTTTTTAATCCGACAATAAAATGTGAATTTCCCCTTTTTTGTATTTTTCCTGAGTGTCTTCCTTGCTTCCAGTTGCTTACAGTTGTTTCTATTCGAAACATTTCCCAAGTCTAAATTCAAAATTTCTCCGCGCCTAAAATCGGCGCCGAAGTCTCTGCGTCTCTTTGCCGCGCACACTCTTTCATCTACGCAACGACACTCCACCGTACGTAGTTTGCCGCCAAAACATTGCGTTTGAAATAGGAGGCTCGCACATTCGCGACGATTTCCCGCATTTCCACTTTGTTATCTCGTTTTGCCCCATTTTTTTCTCTGAAATTCCAGTTTTCTTGCAGCATGGACAACATCATCAGTGGTCAAGCCCAAAAAGTAGAAGATGTGGATGGAACTCGGGTGCAAAACGAATTCTCCAAGTTTTTGAAGAGCTTCAAGGGAGATAAAAATGAGCTCCAATACAAGACGGCAATGAAGGAGTTAGTTCAACCGGAGAAGAATACCATCTTCGTTGACATGCAACACCTCTACAAGTTCAGTAACAATTTGGCTACTACTATCGAGCTGCAATACTACCGGTAGAAACTCCTGTGAAGAAGCTTGTAATCAAAACTGTAATTTCAGCGTTTACCCATTTATGTGTGAGGCTCTACATCTGGCCACACTCGACGGATGTGATGAGAATGAACGTCAGCAGATGTTCAAGAAGCAATTGTACGTCTCACTCTACAATCTTGATGCCAAGACTAAAGTTCGTGAGCTGTCTGCCGACAAAGTCGGAGGACTCGTTCGCATTGCCGGTCAAATCGTGAGAACCCATCCAGTTCATCCGGAGCTCTCCCGTGCTTGCTTTGTTTGCGAGGACTGCGGAGTGAGCACACGCGATGTTCAGCAGCAATTCAGATACACGCAGGTAATATTTCGAATGCTTTAACCATTCTTATGACATTTTCGAACTATATATTTCCAGCCGACAAAGTGTGCCAATCCACAATGTATGAATCGAACCAGATTCAGCCTCGACGTCAACTCGTCAACGTTCGTTGACTTCCAAAAGATCAGGATTCAGGAGACTCAAGCTGAGCTTCCTCGCGGATCTATTCCACGTACTGTCGATGTCATTGTTAGAGGAGAAATGGTTGAGACAGTTCAACCAGGAGACAAGTGTGACATTGTCGGAACACTTATTGTCATCCCAGACATTGCTCAACTCAGCACACCAGGACTTCGCGCTGAAACTTCAAATCAGAACAGAGGTAAGACTTCAGACAATATTCGTAAGACAAATATTTATTGGGAGAAAAATAGGGTTCTAATTGGTATCATTTTCTCGTTGAAGTGGAAGTTGTAGATACTTTGATTGTCTTCTTCGCTGGCTTCATACAAAAAACACGCTGCCGGAGAAAATCAAGATATATCTTCCGGGTAACAGGAGTGAAAATGAAGTATACCAAGAAGACGTGGCATGGGATTTGAGCCAACCGAAAATAGGTGAATGCCATTTTACCATCGAGAGACAAACTGCTGAAGATCTCCTGAACATACATCAACTATTCGAAAATCTTAACCTCCAGCTTTACCGGTGCAACGCGTAAGACCAAGCTAGTTAGTTCGTACACAGAAAGATAGAAAGCAGTTATAAATGCTTGGATCATCAACATCCTTTCCGTTTTCTTCTTTGCTTTTAATACATCAGAAGGCATAGTTGTTGCAAACTGATCTTCTTTACCACCTCGCAGGATTCGTTTGATCTTGGCATAGGTTGGAGATCGTTGTAGTTTGAAGTTGATGATGACGAGGACATTGAAGAAGAATGCCACAAAGGGGAAGAAAACAGAATAGTAGTTGGAAAAAGTGGTAATCTAAACCAGTATATCTGCCCTTCTCTTCCCAATGGTGTTTATCTTACCGGATGTCTTTTCGGAGCGCACTCGGACATAAATCCGACAGCTCGCTGGTCATAATTGATCTGACATTCACTCAAGTATGGAATCAAAAGACATATGAAATTGGCAATCTGATTTAAAACAGAATTTTAAAATGCTACTAACTATCAACTTGCCATATGCAAGGAGGTGTAGAACCATATCTTATTCGATGTGAACAGTTTCGAAGCCTGCATGCTCAGAACCACTGCGATTCGGTTGATTGTCATCAATATGAGAGTGAGCATTGGGTGCAGATACAGAAATGTAACACCAACAGAAATCTGGGGTCCAATAGTATCTCGGTATACTGAAAGCCACCTAGATACGGGCACACGAATGTGTTTCATTCTCACTTTTATAGGTTTTGTCCGACATGTAATAAGGGAGTATGTACACTGCTACACCGAACATGACTAGTAAGGCGTTAGAAATTGCCATGTTGTAGATATAAGTAGCAGGTAGGGACTCTGAAAATCAAAATTAATTGTGTACAAAAAAGAAGAAGTAACTAACTATTTTTGGATGTCTTGATAGCTAATGATAGGGTAATGCAGTAGAATATATTGAAAGCGGAAGCTGCTTCGTAGACCCATAGCGATATACGCTTGACAACGGCAGGATCGACGGACATATCCGAAGTGAAATGAATAAGGGACTCCGTCAATGGGTGGGAGAATTGTGACTGATTGTGGGGAGGTGTGACTACCATATCCATGAGAGAGGGGCGGAGGTGATTGTCGTTTATGGTTATTGGATTTCGAGCAATTATGTCACAGTGGAACGAGGAAGTGGTGTTGAAATCATGGGATTTGTGTTCGAGATTGAAAAATACAAGATATTCGAATAAAAACTAGACTACATTAAAACATTGTTTTTGCAGGTAGAGCGACTGACAAGAGTGAGGGAATCACTGGATTGAAAGCACTCGGAGTGAGAGATCTCACTTACAAGATGGCATTCTTGGCGTGCCATATCCAACAAACCGAAAGTCTGGTTGGTGGAGATGCTTCAGGGGCAATGGAGGAGAATGACTACCTTGAACTGTGGACCAAGATGAGTCCTGAAGATCGCTCAGTTTTGAAGCAGATGAGTGATGACAAGAAGATCGAGAAAAACATTGTGGATTCCCTGTTCCCAAACATTTATGGGAACCATGAAGTGAAACTGGGAGTACTTCTGATGCTGCTGGGAGGAGTTGCCAAGAAAAGTAAAGATGAGGGAACCTCTCTTCGTGGAGATATCAATGTGTGCCTTGTCGGAGATCCATCCACTGCTAAGTCCCAAGTTTTGAAAGCCGTTGAGGAATTCAGCCCAAGAGCCATCTACACTTCTGGAAAAGCATCCTCAGCTGCTGGTTTGACAGCTGCAGTTGTGAAAGATGAAGAATCTTTTGAGTTTGTTATCGAAGCTGGAGCCCTTATGCTGGCTGATAATGGAGTTTGTTGTATCGACGAGTTCGACAAAATGGATGTGAAAGATCAAGTTGCAATCCACGAGGCGATGGAACAACAAACTATTTCCATTACCAAAGCTGGTGTGAAAGCCACATTGAACGCCCGCGCTTCTATTCTTGCTGCTGCGAATCCAGTTGGCGGACGCTACGATAGAAGTCGTCCATTGAAGTACAACGTTCAAATGTCAGCTCCCATTATGTCTCGTTTCGATCTGTTCTTCGTTTTGGTTGACGAATGTAACGAAGTGACTGATTACGCTATTGCCCGTCGCATTTTGGACAATCATCGGTCGATTAGTGAACACACTGAACGCAATACTGTCTACAAGATTGACGATATCAAGAAGTATATTGCCTTTGCTCGTTGTTTCAAGCCAAAGATTTCCGATAAAGCTGCCGAGGCTCTTGTTCGTGAGTACAAGAAACTTAGAATGTCCGACAGTAACAATGCGGCTACTTCATCCTGGAGAATCACTGTTCGTCAGCTGGAGTCTCTTGTCCGTTTATCTGAAGCTCTCGCTCGTCTTCACTGCGGAAAGGAGGTTCTTGAGCAACATGTCGAGAAGGCTGCTGAACTGTTGAACAAGTCTATTGTTCGTGTTGAACAACCAGACATTGCACTCGATGAAGATGACTTCGACAACAATATCGTCATTGTTGAAGCTAATAAAGAGAATCAAGGAGGGGACGATGATATGGAGCATGATGGCGAAAAGGACGAGACAGCTAAGGTCGATCCAGCAAAGCTTAAAATCTCATTCAAGGAATACAAACAACTCTCGGACGTTCTTGTTTTACATATGCGTGCTGATGAAGAGAGTCAAGGAGAAGAGGAGTATGATGGAGTCAAGCAAAGCGCCCTGGTCGAATGGTAACTCAAGATTTTTAAATTTTATTTTAAATGTTCGTACTTTCCAGGTACCTAACTACTATCGAAGGCGAAATGGAAACTGAAGAAGACTTCAATGTACAAAAGACCGTTTGCGAGCGTGTGATTCATCGTCTTGTTCATCAAGATCATATTCTTCTCGAAGTTGAGCCAGGAGAGGATCCAACTCTGTGTGTCCACCCGAACTACGTTGTCTCTGACGAATAATTGCACTGAGGACTACTCTTTGTATCACCGATCTCCACTTTATCATTGTTTTATCAACTTACTATCTTACTATCTTTCTAACTTGAGTTACGATTGCAACAAGTTTTTGTGAATGAACCTTCATGCTTATTTTTCCCTATCTTATGTTCAGTGTTGATTGCTCTTCGCACATGGCAATGGTGGCCTAGGTTCCTAGTATTTCTCGGCCGTGTACTCCTCGTGGGATATTCATCTACGGAACGCCACCTTCAGAATTCAGTTTTTGAAAATTCAGAAAACAGAAGATGTCTGACGATGGAGCATTCAAGTCACCATCAATTCCAGCAAGTCATCATATTCCTGAAAAACCGTCGCCGTCTTCTCCGAAAAAGATAGGCTTGGTTACAGAGCAGATAGAAGGTCCAGTTGAAGGGGCAATAGACGAAGTAGAGGTTATATTGAATGGTGCAAGATTTCTCAACTTTCTTTCATTTCAGACTGCCGAAGTAGAAGCAGAAAAAGAAGCGAAGATTTCAGTGCAAGCCCCAACTCTCCACTATGAAGCACCTCCATGGGCTTGTGAGCCAGATCCTGAACACAAATTTCAGCTCGAAGTTGGTAGTTTTTATTGATTATGAAAGTAAAAATTTTCTTATTCAGGTTCTGAAAGAAGGAAAACTGATTGGAGCATTTGATTTATCAAGTCGAAAGAATTCCACATTTGTCGTGATCGGACGTATTAAGCCAGGATGTGATCTGGTTATGGAGCACCCATCGATTTCCAGATATCACTGTATTCTGCAGTATGGAGATGATAGAATGTCGAAAACTGGCAAAGGATGGCATATTTTCGAGCTAGGAAGCACCCATGGCAGTCGAATGAACAAGAAACGATTACCACCAAAACAGTATATCCGAACGAGGGTGGGATTCATTTTTCAGTTTGGAGACAGTACTCGAATGTTCAATTTGGTTGGTCCTGAAGAAGACTCGGAACCAGAATGGGATTGCTCTCCGACCGAAATGAAACTGCGAAAGCATAAAAAGGAATTGGAAGCTAAACTGAGAGCAGCAGCGGCACAGGAGATGGCAGAGGACGAGAAAAGAGCACAAGAGGAAGAGGGATGTGGATGGGGAATGGATTATGGTGAAGATCAAAAACCATTGACAACTGTGGAGACTGATGCTCATTTGATGGAAGATCGAGAGGCATATTATAATCAGGATCCGAAAAAAGCGTTGCAAAAGTTCTTCGAAAGAGAAGGATTTGATATGAATTTTGAATTCAGCGAACAAGGACAGGGTCACACTCATAAATGGGTTTGCAGTATTGAGTAAGAAATTATATATAAGCTAATGCTCATATAAATATTTTTTCAGACTTCCAGTGGAAATCGATGGCGTGGATCGGGCGTTCACTGCTTCAGCCACAGTTTCTACATCCAAAAAAGATGCTCAAATTCAATGTGCTTTAGAAGCTTGTAGAATTCTCGACACCTACAATGTTCTTCGGTAAGTTTTAAATTGTTTCGAACACTTTCAAATCCAGACGATTCCAGCAAATCCAATACCAAACTTCGAATGCAGCGTAAAACATTGGAAGCCAACGACTATTATGATGAAGACGACGATTTGTATCTGGATAGAACTGGACAACTTGAGAAGCAAAGAGAAAAAAGGAAGCAGTGGGCAGAAGAAGGTTATGGACACAAACGACCGGAGGTTGATACATATGAAAGTCTCTGTGCAAAATTGGAAGCATCCAAAAAAGAAATCGAGGATTGTCAGAAGCATCTGGATATTCTGAATTCAGAAACCAGAAAATCAACTGCAGCGAAAGAAAGTGGAGGAGATGTTCTTGATAATTACATCAGACAACTGGAGAAAAGTGGAGGTGGAGACGATCCAAAGGTAACAAAAATTACAATCAATATTTATTCAAAACAAATCATTTTCAGACTAAAATGGAAAAATCGAAATGGCGTCAGAAGCTGGTAGCAGCGACTCATGAATCCCAAAAGCTTGAAAAGCTGGTGAAAATTGCAAAACCAGCTGCTGTGAAAGGAGTGGATCAGTTAGGTACGGCTGGTGGCGATAAACAAGCCTTCCTGAAAAAGCTAATGGGAGTGAGAGCAAGGAAAGAGGTAGATCAGGCTCCTTCACAACCTGGACCATCGACTCCCACCGTAACGAGTACTCCGCCAACTTCGAAGATGAATGAAACTAAAAACGAAGTTTCTGAAAAGTTGGAAGATGCTAAGAAAGAAGAAGAGAAAGTTCGTCCAGATGTGGAAACTAAGAAAGTAACTGAAGATTCAGAAGTTAAAGAGAAGAAAGATGAAAAAAAGGCTGAAGTGTCAGTCAAGAAAGAGGAAGAAGAAGAGAAACCGAAAGAAGCGTTTGGCAGCAAAATTCAGAAGCGAGTGGCTGAATGGGAAGATGAATTGAAAGCAGAGAATGAAGCGCTCGCCAAGAAACAAAAACTAGAAGCGGAATCCGAAACGAAGAAGAAGGCCCAACGTATTCGTCAGCGTGATATTGAGAAGAAGATAGCTGGAACCGAAGATTACGGAGCTGGTGTGGAGGATCGAGAAGAGAAATATTCCACTTGGATGCCTCCAAATGCTGAACAATCGGCTGCAAAACAAGACGCTCTCCGAGCTAAATTTGCTGGAAAATATTGAATATCTCTTTTATTGTATTTTATTTCTGGATGCTATGATAAAACCTATTTTTCAACCAACTTTATCTTCTTCCCTGAACATCAATCTATGATCCAAACGTGGAACCACAATCCACATTTTCCATATGATTAGAATTAGGGAGAACTTGCACCAGACAGTAGTTATTTCACAACAATTTGCCTTTGAAGTCGTTTGAAGTCGTCTGAATGACAAGCGTAAATTTCGAAGAGAAGATTTCAAAATGGCTGGTGGATCAGAGATGCTATCATGGTTTTTTGCCGAGAGAAGACTTGCCGTATGTGCTCAAAAAGAAGGGAGATTATATTTTCAGAGTTACTGAGGTATTGCATTTATAATATAGGTCATCAGAGAGTCTAGACTATTTTTTCAGCGAAAAGTAGGGAAAGACAGAAAAAGAGACATCGTCCTTAGTTTAGCATGGCCGACGGAGCCAGTTCCGATGATCACTAATAAGGACGTATGTCAAAAAATTAGATTTTCAGAATAACCACAACTTTATTTTTTAAAGATTAAGAACTTTCTGATTGAGCGAAACGCGAACACAGTTTGGTTGGAGTTGAACATGTACTTTCATTCGATAGAAGCACTCTACTCGCACTACAAAACAAATGAGATTGTTAATAAGAACAAAGAAAGATACAAACTCATTCGTCCCGCCGGATTGTTTTCCTGGGAATTCAAACATTCGCAGATTGTTCTTGTCAAAAAAGTCGGTCAGGGAGCATACGGAGAAGTGTATAAGGGAAGGGTCAAAAAGGGAAACAAGACATTTGATGTGGCTATCAAAGCGGTAATTATCTAGAAATGTTTCTTTGTTTTCCTAGTATAAGTTCTCCAGATGCGAAGAGATTTGGATGCTGGAGATGAGAAAATGAAAGAAGTGATGGCTGAAGCCCGTTTGATGAGAAGTCTCAATCATCCGAATATTGTTAGGTGTCGGGGAATCGCTGTTCTCGAGCAGCCGGTTTATATCGTGATTGACTTCATCACTGGTGGTGGTCTTGACTCTTTTCTGAAGAAGAATGGGAAGACACTTTCTATGGATGAAAAGAACAAAATGGCGATTTCTGCTGCTTGGGGAATCGAATTCATGCATTCTCACGATATCATTCATCGAGATATTGCTGCAAGAAATTGTCTTTATGATAAGAAGAATCTTGTGAAACTCTCTGACTTTGGTCTATCACGGAAAGGAAGTAGCTATCGGATGAAGAAGGCGATGAAGATGCCTACAAAGTGGTTGGCTCCAGAATCTCTTACCACGTTCACATTCTCTCGTGCTTCTGATGTTTACACTTATGGAGTGCTGCTCTATGAGATATACACATGTCAAGAGCCCTATATGACTGTTAATGCTGGTGAAGCGAGACGATTGATTCTGTCTGGAACATTCCCTAATTTCTCAAAACACGCTCCTCCAGAACTCAATGAAATAATCAAAAAGAGTGTTTATCAGTTGGATCCACTCAAAAGAGCAACAATGAAAGATATTGTGAAGCAGTTGGAAGGATGGCTAGAAGTTGAATTGGTTCTGGATGAAGACGAAAAACCAGACGTGGATGCAGAATCGAATCGAAACAATGTGACTGCTGATGAATCTCAAGGTTCAAAAGTTAAACCATTTTCGATGGTTCAAGTTGCTCCACCTACTCAAGTTTCTCAACCACTGCCACCTCCACCACCTCCAGCTCAGCCTACTGTAATTGCTCCGCCCACTCCGAGAAGAGCAAGCAAAGAAGAGGAATTGGCAAAAAGCAAGAAAAAAGAACATGTAAGTTTATTGTAATTATTAATAATCAATGATGATATGATAACCAGCCTCATTTTTGAGCATTTAGAAAAGGGATGGATCATTGGAGCGAGCAGCTAAAGTCAAGGATAAGGACAAGGAACCATCAATCGAGGTCCCAAATGCTTCGGAGCCAATGTCAGTGGCTAATAAGATGATGTCGAGTAATGCTCGAGGTAGTGATGAGTTGTTGACACCGCCAGATGAAGAAACAAAACCATCTTCCAAAGAAACTGAACCGGTAATATTTGTGTCAGAATTCAAATTATAAGCTGAAAACTACTTTTTTGCAGGAGGATAATAAATAAACTCGCACTCTCGCTAATTTAACTCACATACTCTGAATGAACCTTTTTTTCTGTTTTTTTTTTACTTTTTAGATCAACATTCATAATAAACCAAAAAAAGAAACAAAAAAAAATGAATGAAATAGTTAATTAGAAACAACAAATCAACCAATAACTAACTTTTGAATGAGAATGAATATTTAATTATAATCTCTTGCTGGAGAGATCCCACGATTCGCCTTCTTTTCCTCGTTATACTTTTTCAATTCCATGTCAGCTGGACGAGATTTATCGTGACGCAAGTCAGCGGATCGATTCTCTTCCGAGAATTGTTCGACTTGAACGAGCAGATCATGATCTTCTACCATTTCTAGGTCGGTGATCAGATTGAAAAGTTGGACGTAAGTGGGAAGATTCGGAACGCCAATTTTCGTGAAGAACGCAATCACATTCTGAATATCTCGAGTGAGGAATTGGAGACTGCGTGGATGGGAGAGGTCCATCGCCTGTGAGACATCAATGACGTGGACTTTGTTGTCTGGAGTTAGGAGAAGATTGAATTCACTGAGATCTGCATGGACCAGAAGACATTCCTTATACATTCGACACATGATCTGAATAAATATGATTATTTTTAGTTTCAATTGTATTAGAGTTTACCGTTTGCACTTGATCATATACAGATCTTCTCTCTTCGTCGGTGAAAAATTCCCATTCGACGTTTTTGAGTCGTGGAGCAGCGAGTCCGTCGTCTCCGAGGAAGGACATGACGAGTACATTTCTGCGAACTTTGACAGGTTGTGGGCACGGGAGTCCGTGTTTGGCCATCCGCGACAAATTCATGAACTCTCTCTCAGCCCAAATTTTGAGGACACCTCGTGGATTCTTAAACGGAAATCATCTTTGACATACTCGGATCGATTTTTGAATTCGGACAAAGTTGTTTTGTATACTTTGATAGCGTAACTTGTGGCAGAATCTTGAGCAGCATGAAGTACTGCTGATTCCTTTCCGGTTGCAATAATACCATCTACAGAATCGAACACTCCTTGATTGATCCATTTAAGGAGAAGAAGTCGTGTATCACTATCCACAGAAGTGTCCATTGTTGCTTTCTCTTCTTTATCCTTATGTCTCATTTGTCTTTTTGCTTCACTTTTTCCAAATGCCATCAATTTATTAAACACTTTGTTGTTGATTTTGTCCCCTACCATATCTCCGGTTGGAAGAGAATTGCGATCCTGAAATCAAACGAAATTCGAAGTTTTCTTTAATGGAACATACATTGAATGTTTTATCGGCATTACGACGTCCACTAACTCCAGTGTCGTGTTTAGTTCTGGATGTAGAGGGTCCTTCTGGTCGGAGACGTGATTCAGATGCATTTTCTGCGTCTAATTTTGCATACAACATGTCTGTGGCAGCTTGTCTCAACGCGTCATCGTCCTCATCTTCTGAATCTGTTTCTTGCATTGTTTTTGGATGATAACGGTCCGGAGCGAAATGGACCGAGCTCGAAGACGCAACTGCACGCGCCACGTCGGCTTCTCGATCGAAGTGACGCTGAAGAGCAAGAGCAACTTCCTCATCAGTCATTCCTTCGGTGTTCAGAGTAAATTGCTCATCAGAAGTAGATGTATCTCCGAACATTTGCTCGAGTTGCTGAACGAAGCATTCGATACAGTTTTAATAAGACCCAATTTACTCACTTTCATGTATCTCTCTTCTTCTAATTTCTCTTGATTTCCCATTCCTTCGATGTATTCTTCACTCATTACATCAACAAAACTGACGATGGGCTCGTCGGCTTTTTTCTGTAAAATTTTTGTGTTTGGTAAAACATTTGTTCAATATGCAAACCTCTGTTTTTCCCCAAGCATTCTTTTTCCAAGGATTATTGTCACAATTTGCCATTTTTCCTCCGAGAAACTCCGATAGTAATTACTGAAAAATCAGAACTATTAAATGAAAAGGAATTCGGTAGAGAAATTTGGGCCAGGCAGTGGTTCTGCACAACAACATTGTGGAATGTTTCGCAATACAATCGATAGTCGCAGTAACAAGAGCGCGCTATCGGAGAAGAAATAGGGAGACCGTTAGAAGACCGTTCTTATAAGATTTAGAGGTTAAATGAAAAAACTATAAAGACAAAACACATATACAGTTTATTAAGAGCAACCCTAGATAATGAAAAAAAAACAGCGACTAGCACTTCCGTTTGTAATTTGAATCCAATTCACATAATTATCATAATGTGGCAAGCTGAATACATTAAATACAATCTTTGCGTAAAATTTAGGTACAGATTATAAGAAATCAGTCAATGATCAAATTCTTGTTGGAAAGACTTTCAAGTGCTCTTGGTGACGGCGTGAAAGCTCGGAATGCGAGGAAGTCGTCCGAAATGTTGACTTTCGGGCGTTCAGAAGTAGAATGTGTAGCTCCAACGAATAGAACTTCTCCTCGGTTTAATGTCTGTGAGCTATTTCCGAGTGTCACCGTGGCAGTACCGTAGAGAATCGTGAGAACAGAGCATGATTCGGAATATGGCAGTTGATAGATTGATCCAGACGGTCCCTTGACTTCCTGCACCCAAAACTCGTCGATTCCTCGTGGAGTGAAAAGAAGAGTTCCATCATCCAACTCGTTTGGAATGTACTTTGGAAGAAGAGTTTCGGTATAATTCAGCATTTCAACAAGAGATTCAACGTCGATATACTTTGGAGTGAGCCCAGCACGAATTGTGTTGTCACTATCTGCCATACACTCCACACAATCTCCTTTCAAGTAGGCATGTGGCATATTTGGTTCCAGGAATGTAGCCTCTCCGGGCTGCAATTTGAAGTAGTTGAGAAAGATTGGAGCGAAGACACCGACATCTCCTGGATACATGGTGAAGAGGTAGACGATAATCTCGTCAAGAGCAGACTTGTTTTCTAAATGTATAAAACTTTGCAATTTTTGGAATACCAACAACCTAAATACCTTGTCCTTGAATTCGTCGAGCTAGTTTATCAACTACAGTTTGTAATTTCTCCTTTGGGGTACGCCAAATTCTTGAGAAGATTTTTTTGAGCACTTGTGAAGAGCTTTCTCCGAATGATCCGAGATTATCAATTTGTGATTTCTCTTCCTCAGTGAGTAATTCTTGAATTTCTGAGTACACTGAAAATAAACTCTTTACATATATTTTCAGAATAATTTCTTTTACATTTCAGGTATTCGCATATTTGAGAATGCTGGCGGAATCCAGACAACAACTCGAATTCTGTCAATGCAATTGCGATTTCTGGCTTGTGATTGTCATCGGGATAATTTTTCGGATCCTTCGCATGAAGAACCTTTCCTTGCTTTTTTGTTGGATGGATTTGAATCGAAAGTGGAGCAACAACGGAGAGCACCTTGAACAAAAATGATAGCTTTCCTGTAATATTTAGAATTCAACTTGACCTAACTTCCTCTAGTTGTTTTACCATTTTCATGCTTTCCTTGTAAGTCGGATGAAGTAGAAAGTAGTCCTTCAAAGCGATGTTGTTCTCGATGACGCGGGCCGGTCCATTAGCATGCGTACCAACCCAAAACTGAAACAACAAAGATGATGAAACAGAACGTGTTTGCGACGTGATATAGGTCGATCTATCAGGTGATCGGGGAATCTTCGAAAGTCACGACACAAGGTCAAAAACAACGGAAGATGCCAAAAATAGACTCTTGGTCATGCAGCCGGAAGTTCGAGATATACTTACTTCAGCGTATGGTTTGTCCGTTTCGAGATTCGCGATATGACCACCATCTAGAGCCAAGTTACCAGCCATACTGGCTTCACCCTTCGCTCCCCACGCATAGTTGTTTACTGTGCACTTCAGTTTCAAGAGCATCTGAAAAAAAACAATTAAATGGGCAGTACTCTGTGAAGATCTGATATGAGGAAAAAAACACAAAGATAATGACGACGACAGGAAAAGTGATCTCTCTGCGCATGCGCTCGAATCAACACGTGACTGAACGGAATCAGTCATAAGTTGACTACAGATGAAGAGAGCGAAGAAGACTTCCGAACTGGAAGATACAGAATACATATATACCGACGAGAGGCTCGGAGACGCAGACGATAAAGCATTAAAACCAGGACTATAAAACAAGTGCGGGTCTAATTTTTTTGAAAATTGGAGGGAATGCGCATGTGAGATTGCGTCAACGTGACTGTCTTGACTGACGGTAAAGTCATAAATTTTCAGACAATTCAAACGGCTGTCGGCAGTAGATTTATGAATTGGGAAGAGAAGATGCGCAACTGATTGAGAGAAGAGATTGAACCTGATGCCACTGATTATTTACGCAATGAACGGACGCTTGATAGCGACGACATAGGACAAGAAAGCTGGGAAATCTGTCGTTATCAAGGAAAACGGAAGCATATATGATGAAGTCAGGAAGATCCCCCTTCATAGCGGAAGAACGGCCGAGAAATTCTAAACAGAAAATTGAAATTCGAAGCTATTTTCGAAAACTATTCAGATTACATCGCTCCGAGATTAATAAATCTAAAATTGAATTCTGAATTCATAGAGATATAATTCTCGGCGCGTTGGCAAAAAAGTAACGGCGAAACGGAGTGCGTAGCTACGCTCTACCGGACTTTTTCCGTTTTTTTTTTCAATTTCAAGTGTTGTTCCAGACTGAAAAACCATTGAAATTAAGGTTCTGGCATGGAAAAAAGAATTAAAAAAAAAAAAAAAACTAAAAAACCGTAACTTCTTGGTAGCAATTCAAAAGCATTCTCAGTGGTCTTGCAACGCATTGAAGAAATCAGGCTTGCGCCTTTGACCAAACATAGTGTATTTTCCGATTAAACAGAAAAAAACAAATTTTCAGCAAAACGTGTTTTGTAAATATGATTTTGTAAATATAATTCTTCTTGCACTTAATCAAGCTTCATCGCTAAAAATCTATTTTCAAATATCATGTGTGTATTTCAGATATGCTAAGCTCCTTGAGCTTTCTTATCAACGGGGAAATCAACGACCAACAACGGCATCAAAAACTTAGAAACCTACAATGTCTGTACATGATCAATAAGCAGAAACCAATCCGAGATGACAATGGGAACCCAGTAAAGCAATTTTGTTAAACTCAAAAATATGGAGAATTTTTTTTCAGTTTTACGCGCAGGACTTGTCAGATGATTTAAACCATCGAATAATCAATTTGAAGCTAGAAGCCTTCCAAACAGTTGTAACCGATATTTTAGGTTCTTAAAATGTGTTTTAGTCATTGTATTTTCATCCGCCTGAATTTTCAGATAAATTGAGATTGCATGATGAAGCTCTACACTACTTTGTTCTAGTGGCCACATTTCGATTACCGGATGAGAAACTAGAAAAAACATTAATTGAAATTTCGGTACAACAAAATTTGGTGAGTCTGAAGGTAACTATTCAAACGAGAAAACTTCATTCAGATGATGAGGATTGATGGAAAATACAAACGCCGACTTTATTCAGAACCTTTGGAACATGATAACATTCCTCGTCTTGCCTGGGATATCTCTCCGGTATTGAAAACGCTGAAAGTGGCAGAAATAGACAAACCTGTTATGCGTATGTTGGAATGCTCATCTTGACCTATTATTTTGTGGTTTTTTTCAGCATCTGAACCTAGGGAAGTCAATCCTGTTGACGAATGGGGTTTGATTTCTCGGGAATTACGAGATATTCTCTGCTGTGAAGAGTTGAATTTAAGTGCAAGAGAAGGGCAGCCAATCGAATTCTTTCACTTGAAGTCCAACATATTTTTCAAAAATCTTCTGGACATGCACCGTGGAGTTAGCTCAGATCTTTTCCAGCTGGACGGCGACAATCATTTCTATCAAGCGAAGCCTTGCCGTGTTGATGAGTGGAATCTAACGACGACGCGGACAGTTCTACAGAAGCATTTATTTCTAGCAAATCAGTTATTAGAATTTGTTAAAAAGCTCAAGCATCATTTCGTGAGCTCAACAACAAATTCTGTGAGGATTCTGATTCAAAGATATTTGATCGATGAACAACAAATATTTTCTGAATACATTGATTCGTCTCTTGGAAACAGTTTGAATGTCCAGTTCGAACATATTGTTGGGTATGTTCGATCAGAAAATAGTTCGCAATTTTGTTGATTTTTCAGTTCGTTTCCAAGCTTGAATATCCAATCATCTGATTCGAATAGGTTCGAAGTGTTGGACCATATTTATGAGACCGTCAGCGCTCATTATCATGTGATTCGAGAAATGAACCACGTCGTCAGCCGAATGAATGACTACAGTGTAAGTTGAAACTTCAAAACGCCACCTTTAACTTGCTCTAAAACCTCAATTGTCTCCGTTTTGTTAGGAGATATCAAACAATATTGAATTCTTCACTTCTTTCTGGCATCTCTTATAAATACTGATAGTGAGATGAATGAGTTAAAATAAAGAAAATATATATTTTCAGCCGATACTGCTAAATGAAATGTCTTTCATAGGATCTCAATCAGCGCCTCAATTCTATTCTAGGCAGATGTGGCGAAGACTGAATGTGTCACTCATTCGTTTTATTGTTAAGTAAGAATTAGAGATTTTAAATATACAAGGTCTCCTTTTTTTTTTAGTAAACTTGCAGAAATGCTAACCACTCCGGATGCTGAACTCATGGAACTTCTCACAGACGCTGGCGATGCTAAGCAGATCAAAGATCCATCTATTTGGCAACGTTTGAATCCATTAACAATGGAATCATCACAATGCGTTGATGAGGAATTAGCGAATCGGGTTGCTGACCTTATAATCGGATATCAGTTTTTCATAAATGATAAAAATAACAAGAGTTACAAATCGGATGGATCTACATTTGCGATTACCGATATTCAAGATGCAGAAGAGTTGGAATTGTTTGCGAAGACACCCCATTTCGAGAAAATACTCTATGGAATCTTATCTCAACTTGATGTGAATTCCACAGATGAAAACCTTGATGAACTCTCGAATTGTATCTATAAACTTCTAGATCAAGTTCCAACGACAACGCTCGTCGAAAAATATTCGCATGTTGTTCTGGATAATTCAGTTCGATTTTTTGAATTTCTGAAAACATTCTTTACATCTGCCTACATTCATTTGAAAAATCGAACATTCTTGTAAGTTCTTGAAGAAGCTGATAATTGAATTTTTTTAATCATTAATTTCAGTAGTCAAAACGCACTAGACACTTTCAAATGCGAGAAGTTGCACAGGCAAAGTTATGATGCCGAGTTCTTGAAAACTGTGGGATATGACATGAAAAGTTAGTTACTATAGCAGAAAAGCCAATTGAATTTACGTCTTACAGGCACAATGGAAGATTCGTTTCTAACTGTCAATGCTCCTGAACCTTTGAATGTCTTCGTGTCTGCCGGAGTGACTGATATTTACTCCCAAGTTTTCACAGTTCTCAATATGCTGCATACTGCACTGGATGCTGTTATAGAAACACGTAATTCAGAAACATTGAAGCACGAACCTCGTCTTCGTTACGCTTTCTTTCACATGAACACAACCGTTTTCGCCATTCGGAAGAATATGTTGACCCTGATTGAAGCTGCTAGTGAAACGTTAAAGGTAATAGATCCGTATTATAAGTAGTTAATGTAAATTTGGTATTTAGAAAACTCTGGATTTCAAAAAATCTTATGAATCCCGCAGTTCACATGAATTACTGAATGTTTGCTACAGAGCGCATCGAAAGTTTATTCGAGAAGTTGCTGGAGCCTTGATGCTGAATTCGAAACGAGGAACAACTGCGAGAGTTATCAAATTGGTAGTTTATCTTAATTTGTCATGTGTAATTATTTCGAGTTCCAGATGGTGAGCAGTGTATCCCTAGCTTCGAAGGCCTGCGTTCAGGGAGATGCAGTCGGAGCTGAAAAACAATACCAACTGTTCCAATCTCATCTTTTGATTTTTCTCGATCGTACGATTTTTGTTTATAAAACTATGGTTTTCCAAAAAATGAATTTTCAGAGTGCCGACTTGATCATAGCCGTTATCCGTTATACAGAAGCCTCGAAATCGGAATTGATGAGGTGGACGGACGCAAATCTCGATCTTCTTCCTATTCAGATGATATTAGTTGTCGATCTTATTAATTTTGTTTTCTGTACATACATTGTTCACATTAAGGGATTTTTCTTGGCTCATAATATAATGAATTTCACTTTTATCCACTTCAACTCAAATATATTCCGATCATCGGTAACAATACATTAATTAATCTATTCTCCAGGCAAGCTTGTTTTTTTCCAGAATGGATAATTACGTGCCTTCGGATGAAACTACTGTAGAACCGGAGAATCCGTTCCCAGCTCCATATAATGGAGAAGATGTAAAAACCATGTTGGTCAGCAAGTCGAGTAAATTCTCAAAAATCAATGGGCACGTTCGCGAATACTTCACAGAGAAACCAGACTGCAATCGGTTTGTGATATACAAATCGACAAATGGAGCGACGGAGAAGGCGATTTCGTGTGTGGAAGTTTTCAAGCAACAATTTGAAGTAACATCTGCTAAATAATTAAAAAATAGGATTCTGAATTTGTTTAGGAACCAATTTATCAATGGACTCGTGCAGTTTGCTCGAAAAGAGTCGTTTTATGGAAGTGTCAGCAGGAGGGACCAAGAGAGTAATTTTGGAATACAATATTCTAACACCATTTTTGAAAAATTCAGCATTCGAGTCACCGTTGAAGTACCAGTCATATTCATCGTCATTTCACGAGATCCATTCCCTGGAGAATACAGTTGTATGAGGTATTCGTTTACAGTCAGCAAGAATATTTCAATATCAATAGTTTGAGTATGCAATGTTCGTCTGATAAAGAAATTGCATTTCTTCCTGCTCTTCGTTCCTCCAAAAAGTCAGCAGGCGGGAAGTCGGATAAGAAAGACAAAAAAGGAAACCGGAGAACGAATGAAGGAAATAAATGGACAAAGCCAACATCTGAGCAAAGGAAGAAGGAGCATAAAGAGAGAAACGAGCTTTTAAAAGAGATCGAATGTTCAAAAAAGCAGTGACATTCCCATTTTCGTTGTTAATTTTGTTACCTCTCACGTTTTTTTTTCATATGAAAGTTCTCTGTTCAAGTAAAGTTTAGCACAAAAGATAATATTAGATTCATTTGCTGAATTGGAAACAATTGTTGAAGAAGTGGCAAAACAAAAAGATCCTTCTAGTGATTTTGAAAAAAAAAAGAAATGGTATAATGGGAATAAACTCATCGGAAAAACCGGTCGAGGAGAGGCTCACAACTGCAAGTAGATTATAGTAAATAGTAGGGGAATATGCTTAGAAATGGTTGGGTGCTGGGGAAACATTCTGGAAATCAATCTCCTCTGCGAGCGGTACGGCGTTTGGCTCCACCAGTCACTCTTGGACTTTTCTTTGCAACCTCTTCCGTTGGTTGGACTGGTTCGTTTTCGTGAACAACGTGGTCATTATCTTCCTCTTCGGCTGCACTGCTGGATTCTGAGGAAGCAGTCTTCGAGCTAGAAGGTTGTTGTTCCACTTCATCCTGCTCATCCTCGTCAATTGGTGGCTGATTTTGAGTGCCTGATGGTCCTGGCTGGTTGTCTTCTTCGTCCTCAGCGATGATTTCCTCCTCTTGGTCGTCCACCAAATTTGGAACTCTGTCGTCATCCGGCGAATAAGTATCGCTCTTTTTAGCGAAGTTTGGTGCCGGCTTCGAACCTTTACCGAAACAGAAAACGCCGATTGCGATGAGTGGGAGCAGAATACAAAGAATGTAGACGGCCCACAACCATGGTTTCTCATTAGTAGCATCAACTATTTGCTGGAAAATTCCATTGGAACTTCCTGTAGCAGCGGCAAGACGATATTCTTCTTGTTGTTTGATATAGAAGGTTTGCTTGGCGATCTCAGAGGCGTCCTGCTCCGATGACGTAATGAGAATGTTGTCTATAAATAAAACTTGATCTAAACCACCAATTTCAGTAACATACCGAAAAGAATATTTTCGCTCATTGTCCATAACTCAATACCGACTGCGCTGATTGGTGCAAGACCGTCGAACGGCTTAGGTTCGAAATAGTTTGGATTATCGATAAGCCTTGGCGACCATTTACCCTTGTAGGCGGGATTCGCGATCTTTGGGCGGACCCATTTTCCCTGAATTTTTCAAATTGAAATACTACAAGTAGCACATCAACATACCCTGTACTTTGGATTTTTAATGGTCGGTGGCTTCCAGGTTCCACATCCACTCAAACCTTTACAAGCGGGATTATCAATAAGTGGGGCTTCCCAGGATCCGTCCATATCCTCGTCCCAATCTTGTGGTTTCTGTGCTTCTGGATCAGGAATCAGTTCGTTTTCCTCTTCATTCCAATCATATGGTTTAGTGGCCGACTCGTCGACGACATTCTGTGGCTCATTTTCATCCCAATCATCCGGTTTGGAAGCAGTTTCGTCTTCAATTTGCTCTCGCTCATCCCAATCTTCTGGTTTCAAATCAGTCTCGTCGAAAATCTCTTTAGGTGGAGTCAAACTTGGAGAAATATCCTACAAAAATTCACTAGCTCGCTCTAGTCTCAAAGTGAAACTTGAAACAACTCACGCTGAGCATGTTGCCGTAATAAAGACTCTTTCCATCAACACTGACGGAATATTCACCGGTCGGCTTAACGACAAGCGTGAAAAGATGAGTATTATGATCATCCCAATAAGCTGTTCCAATGGAAGCAGGCTGCTTGGCATGATACTCCGAAACAGTTCCGTTGACCGGATTTTTATAACGGAAGATAAGATGAACTTGTCCGCTTGCTCCACACTTATCCGGGCCGAACATGATGGTGTAAGGTGTTTTGTCTTGGAAGCTGGCAAGATCTTTCTCGGCGCCTTCACTCAAAAGCTTAAGGTAACCACCTCCACACTCTTGCCCTTCTTCGAATTTCACATCATATCTGAATATGGATTTTTTTTGAATCTTTGGTTTTTGTTCTTACTGTGCAATGAATTTGTTCGAACCGAAGACAAATGGTGTTTCCAGTTTGGCAGCAATAGCATGATGACGGGCCTGAAAAAGTGAAATAAATTCAACAAACTGGTAATAAACTTATTTTTTTAGGTTGTTTTTTTAAATGCATGTCCCAAGTTTTAAATCCAATCCGTTTATAGGAATACGGAGTGGGTGAAGAAAATGGTAAATTTTATTGGCATTGTATCAAAAGAGGAACAACGAAAATTTTGTTGAAACTCTTTATAAAGCTTACAATGCCACTCAATAAGAGATCCTATGAAACGGTTTGAAGCTAAATTGAACTCACTTTTGTTTTCACAATCAACCCGTAGTCTCCTTCAATTGATACTTTTGTCGGTGCTCCGATACTCCATTCACCATTATACTTGGCGATTTCTGAATCCACATCATCTTTTTTGGCTAGACTCTTAATCCATGTTTGACCGATTTTGGAACCAACTGGGAAGTAATCGAAAAAGTTTGGTTTGGAGGTATCAGCAAGTTTCGGGGCGACGAAGTTAGACGGAACGAATTCGTCTTTCTCAACGCCACTTTCTGATGCTTCGTCTTCATCCTCAAAAACGTCGTCGTTGGCATTAACAGATATCACCAGTAAGAATGTGAGAAACACGAACGACCATTTTCGGTTTAACATGATTACCTAAAAATATTTAGTTAGAATGAGATCCAGAGTTAACAAAGGAAGAGTATCGATTACATAATGGAAACATGTTCAAAATTCTTTACAATAAAAACTAATGATATTCAATGTTGAAAGCAATGAGTATTGTGCCTGCAGTCGATACGAAACTAGATTGGCTGACGAACGCTCCAGCGGTGCGATGCAGAATTTGCGAGAGCGCCGCTGTTTGCGCCTCTTCAAAATGGACACTCTCTCACGATGTCTCTCGAGGCGCCTCGATCACAACTATAGAGCGGGTGAGAGCAGAAGAATATTCAACGTCGCATTAGAGTACAACGCGACGCCGCCAGGCCATTTTAGTGCCAACGGCAACGATGAACAAGAACAGACGTCGTAACTCAAATTAAAGGGTTGGTGCGCGGGTAGGGGTTGATGGAAACGAGGAGGAAATTCGTTGCAGCTGCACCATAAGGAGGTGAACAATAATGGGATATATTAAATGAATTCGAATGAGAAGCTTTCAAATGTTCAATAAGCTTTTAATAAGCGCGTTGTTGACAACAACGAGTTGCTATTGGATACATGTAGAGACCAGCAAACAGAAAATGAACCAGAGTTATCATAAAAATCACGGAGTCTGCAGAGAAAGGAAAGATCGTTCTTGAAATTTCCCGGGACCCAAAAACATTTTTTGAAAAAAAAGCGCGCAATGCTCAGCCACCACTACGCAAAAATGCAGAGGATTACTGTAGCCCACCCACTCCGCAATTTTTCAAGATTTTTGGTTTGTTTCCTGTCTTTCTCAACAACACATTCTGTTATTCGATTTTCCTCATTACCTTGTTTTCAAAGTGATACTTCTAGCTAGTAAGCAACTTTACGACAAAAAAGTAGCGAATATTCATATTCTACTGGTTTATGCGATGATTGCACATAAGCGAGATCATTTAAAATATTTCCAGACCTCTAAAATTTAATTTCCATCAGAATTGCAACAAACAAGCTTCCGTGCTAAATATTTTGATGTTCTAGCTCGTATATTGGCAATTTGGTATTGTTTACTATTTCGTGCCAATCATTTTTTCTAGTTCCGCTGACTTTTTCTGCTTCGTTGCGGATAGACTCTATTTATGAAGTTTTAGCATTGTTCATGTTGTCTGACTAGTGAGACTAATTACAACTTCTTGAATTTAAAAAAAATCAGTGGTAAAAGACAACAGGGTAATGAGAGAGACCATAGCAGTTGTTCATCTATCTGAACATGTGATTGGTCGTTATGGAATGATAGTTTAGGTTAAAATTCGATAAGATTTTACCGACGAAATCGCTTTCTTAAACTTTGTTCGCTTCTCGTGCTGATCAGTCTACCTATCTTAAGAACTAAATCTCTTCGTAAGAGACAGTTATTTTCTCATAATTTTTAAAACCAAGATCTAAAGTATATTCAGAAGCATCTGTTGCGTTCGTTTGCTGGATTCTGAATTCCGATTCCTCTATTATTGATAAAACACAATCAAGAGACTGATGTGAAGCGAATGTTTATGAAGATCTAGGTCCTCAGTCCTCTTCACTTTGCCACCCTTTTTCGTTATTCTTCTTACTTAAGTCGCCATCATTCACGTGTTCTGGCGCTGAGTGCGCTTGTGCGTGATGGTGTTTGCACAATTTCAACCGTTCGAATGGTTCGAAAAAGCTCATCCAATCAAAGATTTGAGCTCCCACATAGAAACAAAAGTTATCTTAATCTTTCCTTGAAGCTAGGGCACAAGAACCTGCTGGTTCGAGAAAATCGGCTTCTGATCAACGCCTGACGGTGTTAAATAAAATCTTATCCAATATCCGTTCACTAATGCATTATTTTCTTTTCCCACTTAGTTTTCTCGGTTATCAGTTTTATTTGCAGAACTAATGCAGTCAAACGAGGGGTACCAATTCGACGGTGGTCCCAATCAAGGGCCGGGGCAAGGACAAGGCCAAGGACTCCCTGCTGGCTCACGTCTCAACCAGTACTTGGCAAACAATAGCAGACAAGGTAAAGTTCTGCAGATTTAGAAGGCGTTGAATTCGACATATATGTGTCTATATCAAGAAAAAGGAATTTTCAAAGATTACTAGACTTTTCGTTCCTTCGTGGATGTCTCCATAACTTCTATAACCTTTGAACATACCATCTAACGATATTCAGCATTGCTTACAGGACCGTCGTTTGGACCGGGGACCCCAATCAATGTTAACGTAAGTTTCTCACTGTATCAGTATCCAATAGTTTCGAGAAAATATTCAGGCACCCATATTTATTCCTAAACATCAGCAACCACAACCACCTCCACCACCGCCACCTGCTGTGAATCAGTTTGCCCAGCTAGCAATTCATGATGTTCCTGTTCAAATGATACCGTTCAACCAAATCAACGCGGGACCACAACATTATGGACCACCTCCACATATGAGTCATAGACCATCAATGCAACATCATCACCCGCAACCGATGGCACCTCCACCTCCTCACGTGCAAGTACCCTATGATCGGTATCATCAGGAGAGTCGAGGCGGAACGACTTATTTCTACAATGAACCATCAGACCAACCACTGGACGCAGAGCATTACCACGAAGTTGATGGTAATGAAGGAGGTATTGTCGTGGTACGTTGATTATTCGAAATTATCTTCGTAGAATTAAAAAAAAAAACTTCAGAACACATCCGGCGTTTTTTGCTACAATGCGCCGCTTCCGTTGGCCCACATGACACGGTTTCGAGGGAAACCGAACTCCACCCAACAAACGCAGTTCATTTCTCCTGAGCTACGAATGGAACTGCTCAATCGACAACTTGCTTTTGACACCAAAGTCGATCCGAACCTTTATCCAGAAATTCCTCAAAATGTGGAGCATTTCACCAATCTAGTGCCGTTGGAGAATACTGGAATGCAAAACCAATCACATTCCACTTACAAAGCGATATCCTGTCGTGATGGGAATTTCTATTGCCTGCGACGAATTCATGGTGCTGCAGTTTTCAATTCTTACATTTGAAAAATTCGTAGTTTTTAGGCAATCGAATTCAGCAGCCAGGCAAGCAAACTCACCTAGTCGAGCAGTGGAAAAAGCTGGTGCACGGAAACATTGTCCCCCTTCGAGAAGTTTTGCTCAACTGTCGTGCATTCGAAGATTATTGTAAGATTCCAGTAAAACACATTTCACTGTTTCTGTTTTCAGCATTAATTTTTGCCTATGACTATTATCCGTTGGCTGAAACGTTAATGACAAAACATTTCGATCCAAAAAACGTTACGAATTTCTACGATCCGGCCAGTAAGCATTCTGTTGAAGTTTCCCACCAGTTAAATTAATATATTTTAGATAACTTCCGCATAACATCTCCAATGGGTGTTCCTGTTAGTCTTGGTCCATCTGGAGCCAACGAAACAATGATTTGGAGTTATATTATACAAATCGCCGCTGCACTTCGAGCAATTCATGCAAGTGGTCTTGCTTGCCGAACGCTTGATCTCAATAAGATCATCTGTTATGGAAATAAGATAATGCTGTCGTTCTGTGGAATTGCAGACGTCCTCGATCCAGATTCAACACCTATCCAACAACAACAGAATGAAGATTTAAACATGTTCGGGAACATTATCGTGTCTCTCGCAACCGGGCGTGCTAACGCTTGGAGGAAAGACTTGTATCCACAGTCCAAAAAACTGATCGACGAAAACTTTTCTATCGATTTAAGAAATGTGATAGGGTAAGGCCGTTATTAGAAAGTGTGTTTTTAATTAATTGTGTTGTTCAGGTTCCTGCATAACAATGGCTCTCGAAAAACTATCAATGAGATCATGCCGATGATTGGCGGTCGATTTTTCACCGTAATGGAGAACATGCAAGCAAAGACTGATGTACTGGAAGGCGAACTGAGTCGAGAGATGGAAAACGGCCGACTGCTTCGTCTTCTCGCAAAAATGAATACAGTACTGGAGAGAGTCGAGTAAGTCGGATAAATCTTATCTTGATTATAATACACAAATTGGTTTCGTTACTCCAGAAACGGTACTGAAGAAGGATGGTCAGAAACTGGTGACCGATTCATGTTGAAGTTGTTCCGAGACTATGTATTCCATCAAGTTACGGATCAAGGAAGAGCATGGCTCGACATGGCTCACATTGTGCAGTGCCTCAACAAACTCGATTGTGGAACACTGGAAAAAATTGAGATGGTCGCTCGAGGCGGCGATACTCAGATCATCATAGATTATGCCACTTTAAAAAAGTGAGTTATTTTGAAGGGAATTTTCAATCAGAAACAACTCCACATTTTTTATTTCGTTTCGATATTCATCTGCATCTTTAGGATGTTATCTTCCTTTTAACCTCATTTCTCTCTTCAGGTGTCTCGAGAAGTCATATCGTGAACTAATGGGCAACACTATGATGATCGTTCATCGTTAGTCTTTCAACTTCAAAAGAATATATTCAAAGCAGGCACTTCTATCATCGATACTGCTAACAATATATATCGTTCACGAACCTTCTTTTTTTTTGCATAATTTAGCACTCTTTACTCGATTATTACCTGTTTAGTGTTCTATCATAACCACTTTCTCCTTCTTTTTATTTTTTTTTCTTATGAGACCAATAGAGCAATACGGCAAGTTTTCTCTTCCCGAACAGTATCACATCACCTATTTATCTCCTATTTGAATTAGTCGACTGACTAACTTTTTTTCTCTTTTCCAGCCCCGTTCACTTTTGAATCTATTCCCTTTCTTAATCCCATCCCGGCAGATTTTATGTAATTAGTAACGAGTTATACCATTATATTTATCTTCCCAACCCCCCCCCCCCCCCCTCCTTCTCATTGGGGAATTTTGCGATGATAGGACTTGAGCTGTTTGTTCCAGGTTGTTTTCTATAATCATCCGTTGGCTCTATCTTATGTTATGTTCTTCTCTTTTTTTTCTTGTGTTGTGATTTCTGAAAATCCTGTTGTAAAAAGAAATTCTGAGAAAAAAAAACGTTTCCAAAAAAAAGAATAAAGATTCAAAATCCTGTAAAATTCCTATGAAATTTCTTATTAGGGAACACTTGTGATAGTCGACAATGGTATTTTACAAAGCAAAACTCAGCAGCACAATGAGTTCTCTTTTCAGGATGGGTCTAATTATGGCAAAATTATTTCAAAGCTGGTGGGCAGGGAAAAGTAGGTGATTTTTTGTATAAACTGTAATGGAATCACCATGTTTCAGAGTACAAAATTATTGTTGTGGGTCTCGATAATGCTGGCAAAACTACTATACTCTACAATTAGTATGTTTTCTAATTTTTGTTATAATTCGGAAGGAATATCCCATACACGAGTATCACTAACTATCTCATATCAAAATTGAGCTCAATTGTTCAGAACATCATTGATAATTTTTAGGAAATTTCTCCCGCTATTCACAGTAGTTTACTGAATTGACCAATTAGATATGAGATAGAGCGCGGTATACAAAAATGTGAATCGCAAATACCAGCTTCTCAGCGTGACAAAGGATCAAATAGAAACGAAACCAACGATAGGGAGCAACGTTGAAGAGGTGTCGTATAAGAATCTTGACTTTGTGATTTGGGATATTGGAGGACAGGAAAGCCTTCGAAAATCATGGAGCACATATTACGTTCAGACAGACGTCGTTATTGTAGGTGAGTATTTAGATATTCTGGTTGATCCATTTAAGATATCTCATCATTTCAGTAATCGACAGCTCAGATACAACAAGGTTGCCTCTGATGAAAGAACAACTGCATAACATGCTCCAGCATGAAGTGAGGACATATATTCTAATTATTGGTAACATACTCAAGCTTTCAGGATTTGGCACGATCTCATGTATTGGTTCTTGCGAATAAACAGGATCTTCCAGGATCGTTGAACCCTGCCGATGTTTCACTACAGCTCGGTCTTCAGACATTGCGTGGTAGAAAGTGGCAAATAAACGGATGTTGCGCTTTGAAAGGAGAAGGGTTACCCGAAGCTCTTGAATGGATCGCCAACAACCTCTGAATATACATATTACAATAACTAAGACCTCATTTCGCCTTCTGAGTTGCCTATATTCTCAATATGAGATATTGTGATATTTTTGAATTTACCATTTTTCTTGTAACATTCATGTCAAAATGAAAATTATATAAGTTATGAATCATACGTGAGATCATGATACATGTTTTTAATGATTATCAGTAGGAATTGGAGAAGATTTCTGTGGTGGCGTTTGCTGCTGAAAGTGGTCTGTCGGTGTGTTTGACTTCAAAACATCGAGAAGTTTTCCACGTCGGCATTGACGTGCTTCATCTAATCCGAGTGTGTAGACTGAGTTCTGAATGTTTCGAATGAGTTTCGCGATGTCATCTGGTGGACAATGACTCATGGCTGAAAGCATAGAATAAGAAGGATCGAGAAATAGTAGTATCTTACTGTTAACTGTAACGACGTCTTCTGTGAGGAATGGAATCGTTTTGTATGGAGATTTGTAGCCTTCTGGAAGAGTGTTGCTCTGGAATGCTTCTTCGAAGTTCAATGACTTTGTTGGTACGGGTTCCTCGTCTTCGGCCATCGTCTCAAGACATTCAAGCATTTTTTTCTGTTGCTCTGAAAAATTAATGCAGTTATTTTTTATAAAAATAACTGCATTAATTACCTAGAAATTTTTCTTTATTCAAATCTGTACTTTTCTCATCATTAATCATCTGTTGCATAAACATTTCATCATCACCAAACTCGTATCCGATATATCCAATAGGACGAGACATTTGTCTGAAACGTAACTTTGGATATGGTATTCATCTGTTTTGCTGAGCAATAACATCAGTTTTCAAGTATCAATTTTTCGAAAATTACGATATTCGGTGTGATCAGTGGTACAGTGTCTTCTTTTAAAAGTTTATTCAAAGTGAAAAAGCGTTGATGTGGAAAAGGCATTACTCAGTAGTGAACATAGCCAGGGTTCTTTTTACAATAACATTACAAAAATTGGTCGCTAGATAGGCTAGCCTGGCATTTACAATTTTACAAAAAACGGGTAAAAAAAGAAATTAAAAACACGGGTAGCGGGGTGTGGAACGGTTCGAAGGGCAGTCGGCATTGAGTTTGGATTCGATAGGAAGTTGAATTCTGAAATGGTTCAGGTTAACGGTACGTAAACACTCGCGCGCACTAAGTGCACAGTCTGGGTCACTCACCACTTCTCTTTTCTTTTGGCCTCTCCATTGCTGGCAGTCTGAACGACCTTGCGAGTGTCGCCTCCTGGTTGCGAGGAATGCTTGTGCTCCACTCTTTCGGCCTTGGTACGCTTTCCAGATCCGGCACTGAGATCCTGAAAGAAAAATCTTGGCTAAAGCAAGTTTGGCATCCAAAAGTTCAGAGTTTTGACCGGAGGTGGCATAGCACCCTGATCTATTGCTCAATTTTGGAAGCTTTGAATTTTCCGAAATCAACATACCGGTCCTCCGTCTTGCTCGAAAGCGGTAGCCATAGCTTCAGCGTTCGACGACATCTTATCAAGTGATAGTCTGAAAACAGTTGAATAATAAGGTTGTGCGTAAAAATGCTTGAAGAAAGTTTGAAGAAGAGAAAGAAGAACGATATTTTATCAACAGGAAAACGATTGGCGATTGACAGCTATTTGATCGAGATGTGGGAAGCAAGACGAAAAAAGGTTTAAAGACAGCAGCGTCACTGAAATTTCCGAATGACAAATACAACTGCTGTATGAAGGTTGTTTACGATGGAAGCCCTCTCCCGCCAGCGGCCAAATAAAGATCGAACTTCGTTTCGATTTTTGCTATTGCTGGAACGATTTTCTCGAAGTTTCACAAAAAACTGCTGAAGAATAACAAGCGCTAGCATGAGAAATCCAAATCCGGGATCCTCCAAAACTCAAAAAAAGTTAAACTAGTCGCATTCAAGTCCGGCATAAAACTAGCACAAAGCTTTCATGTAACGACGAATCGGCATATTGCCTACCGTCTCTCCTACTCGTATTTATACATTTTGTGCTGGCGCTAATCACACGTGACGGTGAGAGGAGCAGAGACCGGCAAAGAGAGCGTATGAAATGAAGAGACACAGAGCAGCACACTCGAAGGCTGTCTCTTACTTTCCTCTCTTGCCTTGTTTTTGATAGATAGATTGACGATATGGCATTGAAAGCAGAAAAAGAAAAAAAAACGATGAAACAAACAAGTGAGAACAGAATGAATCGATCGGAACTGCAGACCGTAAACAGATACCAATAGAAAAAAATCTCGAAAAGGAATCGTTCATTTTTGAAGAGGGAATGAGGGCGATAAAAATGTTATTAAGGCCTTAAAATGAGAAATTCGGCAAGTGATACAATTTTTGATCAGGGACCTGTGACAATGGGTCGAATTGCAGGAAAATGAGAAGTTAACAAGGATTTAAATAGATTTCGGAGAAGAGAAGACCGTTAGTCCGTTCAGGCGGAGTATGCTGGCGGGGCAGTTCCATGATTGCTCTGAAAAATACGCTATTAACTTCATAGGATGTTTCTAGGGACAAAGGTGACAGAGGATGTTTGGAGTGATGATTAAAATATCATAAAGTTACCCAATCCGCCATTTTTAAGGGTATCTGTTGCTCTGAAACGTTCTAATGATACCCTACAGAATTCACTTTTGTAATGGTAAAAAACTCACCGTTTGAACATATATGTTCTGAACGACACTCTTCTCCTTGCAGAGGATGATGTACCACGCGTGAATGATTCCCGGAATGATTCCAAGGCAGGTGAGGAGAATGTTGATGCACAGATCACAATTGCATCCTACATCGAGAAGAACCGCAATTGGCTGAAAAATCTTGTTCATGGAACCTATGTTTTTTTCCTGTTTACCGGGAGGAACAAAGCGAGAATTGCGAGAAGAACCTGGCACATCTTCGGTTGGAAGGAGTTTGAGCTGAAAACTAATAATATTGCAATCGGAAAATATCAATAGAGGTGAGCAAGGCAAGGGAAACGACGAGTAGAGATGAGCAAGGGAAATTGAACTGTCATCTTGAACAATATTTATATAATTGTTCCTTCGAGCATTGTCGGTATACCATACTACAGATAAGAAACGTGCGCTTCGGAAACGACAAGACGATACATTTTAAGAAAGTATTGCGTAATCGACAAATGAGGCAGAATGGAGAGACAACACCGAGCGGAGTTGTTTGCACGTCTGCTTCTCTTCATCACGCGCTATACATTCATAAATCAAGCCATGAGAATTTTCGAGAGCGAGAAAAGGGTGGAACGGAAATCTTTTTGAATACATAAGAAGAGGGGCATTGAAGAACTATCAGATATTTCGAATTAATCTAAGAATACACTGAAAATCAATTAAAAAATCGAATTTCGCGCGCTTTTATCGGCAGTTGGTCTAGAAAACTCTCACCTGGCCGCTAGGCCACCAGATACAACTTTGACTTTTCGATGCCGTTTTTCTCAATGAAGGAATTTTTTTTGAATTTTTCTTTCTTTTTATGGGAATCTACATGGATTTCTGCACAAAATGAAGCAATAAAATTTTTCACCGCACACCACCTTTAAGAAAATCATGCGACAAGAAACTTATTCGCATAAACTGCGAGCAATGAACACAGATTTCGAAGATATTTGCATCTGATATATGAGCATGAAGACAACGTCCAATAAAATAGAATTGATGATAAAAAACAGTTTCGACCGAAACCATGATTTAGCGGCAAAATTCAAAGCGCAGCTTGAAAAACTCAGCACTTTCAATTTAGGAAACAGCGGCGAAGCGGTGGCGAAACAGTGGCGAAACTCTGGCGGAATTAAGTTGTCACACTGTTTCCTAAGTTTTGGAGGTGCCCTCGAGCGCACTTGCATTTCGACTTTATTCCATTGAAAAAAAAACACAAAATCAAGTAGAATGACTAAAAAAAGATTTATTGAAATTTTAATGAAAGTTCAATTATTTAGCAGCCTGTTGATCGGACTACAGCTCTTTGCGGCATAATTCTGTTCGAACTTTCCATCTCCCACAATCAATCATTTGTCTTCTTCCTAAATAGGGTTAATATCACCTACATCTTCATTTGATAGGGCGATATATGCAAGCAATATATGCGCACTTCCAAATCTTCAGACAAAGTATGGCATTAAAGTGACTTGTAAAATCTCGACGTTTTTAAGGAAGACTCACTATATTTAGGGACATTTTGCTGGAAAAAGATCATATGAGTTACCAAATTACCGGTGTTGTTTAGCTACTTACACTTAGAAAAATTCTGAAGTATATAGAATATTCCATAAATTTTTTGACCAGACAAGTTTCTTTCTCGGTAAAACCAAATTTTCGGATCCATATAAGTTTGAAATTTGCTCACTTCATTCAGAATCTTGGCATAAAATTACTCCAAACAATTATTTTAGTCCTGCCATTCCCCGGTTATGAGTTCGATTTCTAAATAGTTATAATATAAATGGTAATTTCTTCTTACCTTTTTCGCATTCTTCTTTAAAAATCTCTAAAACATAGTCCTCAAATTTATAAGCGAAATTAGCAAATATAAAACATATGAAAAATATTCAAAAAAAAACATAAGTTTTCAAAGGTAGGGTGTTTTTTCATTCACCCCTGTTTCCTGAAAAATTTCTATTCGCCACTGTTCTCTGAAAAACTCTTTATCCACCACGGTTTCACCACTTTTCTTGGTCTCGCCACGATGATTAACTCTCGGAACAGTGGTTCACCCCCGTTTTCTGAAAAAGCCCTTTTTCGCCGCTGTGTCCTAAATTGAAAGTGCTGAGAAGTAAACAAATTCGTGTCTAAAGTTCACTTTCAGTCAATGCGGAGCGGGGAATTGCGGACTTGCACACCGTATCACTTCAAGAAAATGAAAGTCTTCGATAAATAAGTTTCGCAATTTTCAATTATTTCTAAATAGTTGATAATGTCTGATATTGAAATATTAGAAGATGTTGAGCCTACTCCAGCGAAACACAAGCTTCAAAATACAAGGTTACAAAGAAAAAGGTAAACTACTGTTCTTTTTCTACGCTAATAATGAAATATTTCAGAAAGAGAACATCGTCAGGACTTATTGAAAAATGTGGAACCATGAAAACCGAGTTTGAGGTCGAAAATCTGAGAAAAATCTATCTCAGTGTATTAGTTTCAGGAATTCGTAATCGATCGCACAATCACTCAACAGAGGAAACTTGTTCTTAAAGATGTGGAAAATAGCGCAGGGACTGAGTAAGTTGATAAGTTCTGTGAACTTTTTAAATTTCCTTTTTCAAGAAGCGTGAGCAATTGGAGGATAGCACTGGAGAACTCACTTCTTGGCACAACTCAGAATCCAGTTGCTTTCAAAACACCAGCAACCATCCGATTCCAAAAAGTATTAAAACAATATCCTCCTTCAATATGATGACACATTTTTTACAGAAATGTTTCAATTGTGATGGTGAACACGTTTTACAAGATTGCCCGAGTCCAAGAGACTTTCGAAGAATTTCAATGAAAAAGAGAGAGTCTGCAGATATGAACACACCGTATGACTCAAACTTTGATATTTAAAGAATTCTGAAAATTTCAGACGCCGCAAGTTCATAGTATCAAATAGTGTCGGTCTTTCGAAGCACAAAGCTAACAGCTTTAAACCAGGAGAGATGAGTGAAACACTTAGAACAGCTCTTGGTCTTGACATCAATGAGATTCCGGTACACGTGTATCGCATGCGTCGTCTTGGATTAATAGATGGCTACCCACCCGGGTGGTTGAGAAAGTGTGTTTTTTTAGTAATAATATATAATTCATGACTAATTTCTAGAGCTGTCAAAAAGACGGACGTCTTAAAGTTCTACACAGCCGATAACACGGACAACAGCAAAGACACATCGGCTGCTTCTCCTGAACTGGACATGTCTAAAATCGCATGGTATCCCGGGTTCAATGAAGTTGACTCAAACCTTGTAGATGTAAATATTTGCAAAATTAATAAAAAATTTTAATCAAAAATTTTCAGCATGAGTCGTTCAAAGTTCCACCAACTGACGTTTTCCACTCCGTCTTCCAAGAAAAACTGACAGAAATGTTCAAAAAGCAACGGAAAGCGATGAAGCGCAGCAAAAGCAAAAATGAGAAACGGCAGTCTTCTAGGCATACAAAGTTCACTGAAAATGATGAAGAAGATGATGTTGTCATAGTAGAAAATGGAGAAGGAGAAACTGACTCGACAAAGCTAAAGTTTAAAACACCAGGAGAGGTGAGAAAACTTTAAAAATGTGTTTCATGCTAAAGTTTCAGGATGGTGTCGTTGTGATGTTAAAGGGGAGTGATCGCGTTGGGGATATCGATTCTGAGCCGTTACCAAAGAAAGACGTAGAAGTAGGAGAATCCTTATTCTCAACAATCGGGATCCCTGTTTTCGAAAAGCTAACCACTTTGGCTCCTCTAGAAGCGTTTGCTGTCGGAATTCAACCATTTGCAAGTGGTACAGAAGACGTTGAAAGCAAAGGAATATTTCACAAACTTATGAAAAAGCTGAATGACGCTCGCACTCAAAACCTGAAACCGGAGTCACAAAGCAATGAGAAATATGAGAAATTGTCTGGAAGTGGTTCTGCAAATGATGAAAAGCTATCACCGATTAAACCGAAGAAAAATAAGTCCAAGAAAAAGAAGAAGAGGAGAAAAACAGAAGATCCGGATCTCGAGATCCTTTAAATTATCAGCCATTGAACCTTGTTTTATGTTGTAACTGTCATTATTTAGTTTTCCTACTTTTCATTGTTGTTCTTATTGTTCAAAATGTCTTTGATTTCTATAATGTTTTTTGTCACCTTGACATGATAAATTCATACAAGTCTTCATTGATTTCTCATATCTATACGGTTCGAATCACAAGATGATCTTTCTCTCATTATTAATTGTTGTTCTCCAACCGCTCTCTCTCTTCTTTCTTCATGACGGTTTGGTCGTGAACCTATTCATCCCCAAAGATTATATCAGCTAACAATTCGACACTCCACCGATTCCGAGGAAGGGGTTGCTCCGAGGAACCGATTCCGAGGAA